ACGGCGTTGTTATAGTGTAATATATTATAATATCTAGTAGTCAGTGAAATTTTTTGATGAAATCAATTGAAAATTTACCAAAAGCAACACTTATAATATCTGTTCATACAAAGCATGTGTCAAGTTTTTAACACGTTGGTAGCCGATTTCTCCGGCTATTGACAGGTTGCTGTTCTGTGGACACAATCGACGCGGAACCGAGAGAAGCAAGCTCAGGATATTTGAAATTGATTTATTAATTATATGATATCAAACTCAAGGAAAAAGCATTTATTCTTTTCATCCAAAATTTTTCTGCTCAAATATTACATTGGGATACAAAACAAAACTATAAGGCACAACGTACGGCACAAGCTATCAGCGGTCTTCTCTTTTGTGCGGACCTTTGTGAGAACAGTATAACATCGAACTGGATCTAAATTTAAGCGATTATTTCTTCACTTCAGAAGCCTAAAACCTTCATTTCTCCCTCAGCTTCCAGACATGGAGAGTTTATATTCTGATTTTGGAAAAAATTCAGCTCTGCAGCGATGTTAAATGGGTGATTCACCGCGAAATGTGGCCAATTCCGGCATTTGTTTTCATACCACGAATCACGATAGATGCCGCCTACTTTTCGAAGGCAATACCTAGCTATTTGTTGAAGTTATCATGGATTTCACCAATTTGGTTATTAGAAAAATTCTGAAGTGAGCCATAAAGCCGGGCTGCAAAGCGGGTAAGCTGTATTTGTGACGAAATCTGCTCCAGTGGTTCGATTTTGGTGTAGGCGAAAAAATCGCGAATGCTCGTACATGTGCTGATTCAAACGGTCATAACTTTTGAAAAATCGAAAACGTACAGGGGTTTTTGCATATTTTTGCCTATAAAGGTCTAAACTTAACGGCTGTGTAGGATAGAATCGTCAACCAGGTCCCAAATCCCAAAACTTAGCGTCTAAATCAAGGTTATTTACGGCCATCGACCGATGGCGATTTCTAGTGGTCAGAATATGCTAAAATTCGCCTTTTCAAATATGTTGAGAGGGCAAATTCTAACTTTCTTGGCAAACTAGAAAGGTTTTTAAGCAATCTGATATAAATTCTGTGGCTTAACTATGCGAATCAAATATTTTACAACGTTGCAAAATATGCCTATTTTTCAATTTTCGAGACGTTGCGACGGTCCCTACGGACTGGGAAATAATTATGGCCCGTAATGCAGTCAGAAAATTATTTCGAATCGAACCAAATCTAATTTAGTTCTTTCCTAGGTAAAGTCTTTCTGTTGACAGAGTTTCAGGCAAAATTATTTTTGACGCAAAATTGACCGGGTGGAAATAAGAGAGACAGCCTCTTAAGTATTGTGACGCTATTCCAGCTTGATTTGTCCTCATCCCGCGTTCTGTTTTTATTTTATCGGTGGAGATACTAATAGATTAATCAACAGCCGGTTTTATCAAAGGAATTCACATCCTGTTTGTAATGATTAATGTGTAATAGTTAACCATGATTGTGTAACTTCCGTTGGGTTATGAGATGCAAATAGCTCAGCAGATCAGTTTTCTTAATCGAGCGACGAGATAACACATGTTAATATAGTAGCGTTGATTACTCGAAAGAAACCGAAAGAAAAGAGTTAAGATTGGAGAAAGAGGTATGATTTGTAGTTGTAATTTGTATTAATCTATTTAGTTATAGTATTTCTCTTATATTATTGCTCGTGATTAGTGTTATTTTGTGAATTTCTAGTACCGTGATACGCCCCCTTTTTGCGTTGTTATTGTACAATCGATGTTCTGTACGAATTATAGTAATAGGCTTTTCGTTGTAATTATCCTTTCAGTTTTTACGTAATCAAGTAAATCAAGAAATTAAAGAGCTTTGATCGATACGAGTGGCTTACTTGGTTTCAGTATAAAGTCTTATCTAAATATCGCGTTCGGAGCAACGATGGAATGTCTCTAGATCCCTCCGTCTGCTACACTGCTATTGAATGGTAATGGCTAAGTGACTTAATTTCAATCTCTTTTGATACTCAGTTGAGGTCTCCTTGCTGTTTACCATCGATTTCATTGGCGGCTTCTGGTAATAAGTTGGTGTTATGCAGTCAAACCTCCACTGAGTGACCCTCTGTCAAGCGGCCAGCCTTTGTGAATTGGCCACTTTTAATCCTCTTCAGTTGTAGTCACATATACAGGTGTCCTACACGGTTAGGCAACCATGTGGTCACGTACTGATGGAGCTATGTAGCTATCTTGTCATGTCGTAACGATTTATACAGTTAGCGGCCAGCTCAGAAGGGACTGACATGTAATCGCGTACAACTGTAGCCCTATAGTCACATCAAGTCGCTTAGCCACTGAAATCTAGCAGCAATTTAGTTGCTTCTTATCAGTCCACGCATCAAAGAGTCCCAGAAAAAACAAAGCCATGCACCTTACCACAAATAAGCTGGCTTTTATCAAGTCTGGAAGTTCGTTAATTTGGTATAAAATATATTTGCTTCCGTTTTGAAGAAGAATTAACGTTTTTTCTTTTAAATTAAAACCCGCATTTGTAAAGATCTACACGCACAAGACCTAAAAAATGTAATGCTTGGAAGGAGTGCTTTCTTTCTTTTTACTAAAATTTCCTTTGCAAAAACTCTCGTTTGCCTCAGTATTGTATAATGTACGAACAATGGGTTTTCAAAACAGGAATATTTGTCGTAATAAGTGTACACACCTGCTTAGCGTGTTATTAAAAACAAAGTATGATGTGTTTAATTTGGTGTAAAATATATTTGCTTCTTTTTTTCAAGTAGAATTAACCTTTTTCTTTTAAATTAAAACTCGCATTTGTAAAGAGCTACACACACAAGACTTATTGTTAACAAGCTTTTATTGGGCTGACCGCAAGATGCACCGCTTTAAAAAATGTAATGCTTGGAAAGAATGCTTTCTTTCCTTTTACTAAAATTTCCTTTGTAAAAACTCTCGTTTGCCTCAGGTCAGAAAAAAATATATTCTACGATCGATGCTTGGCTGGTCTATTATTCGCAGAAAATATCAAACCATGGGCAGCGGTCTTAAAGCTTCTCTCAATATTTCATTGTTGCGTAAGAAACGCGCGATTTTGGCTAAAAATAAAACAAAATAAATTCTTTAAAAACGAAGGAGTGGGTAATGTTACACAAATAAAGAGGGCAAGAGATAAGACAATTCATTTAACAAACTAGTTATAACAAAACATGTTCATTTATTTTTCGGGTTGAATGTATTTCAATTCCTAAAGGCTCGAACATGAATTTTCTATCGCAAAACTAAATACGTGCCTGTCTGTAATTTCAAGTGGTGATTTCACTGAAAGAACCGTGACCCCAGCTATTGCAGCAGTCTGTCACTTTGAAACATCAATCTGTTGCGAACTCACTCGGCTGAGGCATACGAGAGTTTTACGAAGGAAATATTAGTAAAAGGAAAGAAAGCACTCCTTCCAAGCAATACATTATATTTTTCAAGCGACGCTTCCAGCGGTAGGGTTAATAAAGGCTTGCTAACAATAATTGTGAACAATAAACAAACAAGTTTTAATTTAAAAGAAAATAGTTACTATTCTATTTGGGTCCACAACATTTTGATCGCTGTGATGACGAGTATTGTCAACAGACCTCGCGAAACCACTGTCAAATCGGTGTATGATATTCGACTAAAATTGAATGAGGCTTACGTAATAAAGGTGTCTTATGTTAAGGTTGTTTCCGCTGTTCAAGGATAAAACCTTATCTAAACAGATGCCCTGATAATGTTAGTAGCAAGCAAGGCGTCTAAAAATGTGTTTTTAATCATTTTATATTATATAATAAGCTCAGTTATGCGCGCATTCTGATTGGTTCGCACTTATGATCTATTGGAGGACAGACGTATCGATGACGTCATCATTAAAAATTTTTTTTGAATTCTTTATTAAATAAAACAAATAGATTCCAAGTTGCCGTGCATCTGTTGAGTAATAGATCACAGAGGACGTCAAAATGTGGTAAGAACATTAGCGACACACTCGGCTGCGCCTCGTGTGCCACTTTTTTGTTCTTACCCCATTTTGACGTCATCTGTGATCTATTACTGAACAGACACACGGCAACTTGGAATCCATTTGTTAAATAGAAGCTGAAACGGCAAAAGGCAATGAGACAAGAAACTTCGACAGCAATCATTAACCATCGAGCTAAAATCTTGTCGGCAAAGTGTCGAAAAGTGGCTCACGACAGGGCTATTTGGATGCGTGCCTTCAACACTTCACGCTTTTCGTTTTCTAATAACACGCCAAGCAGGTGTGTAGACTTATCATGACAAATATTGCTGTTTGAAAAACTCATTGCTCGTAGATTATACAATGCTGAGGCAAACGAGAGTTTTTACAAAGGAAATTTTAGTAAAAGGAAAGAAAACACTCCTTTCAAGCATAACATTTTTTAAAGCGGTGCATCTTGCGGTCAGCCTAATAAAAGCTTGTTAACAATAAATCTTGTGTGTGTAGCTCTTTACAAATGCGGGTTTTAATTTAAGAGAAAAACGTTAATTCCACTTGAAAAACGGAAGCAAATATATTTTATACCAAATTAAACACATCACACTTTGTTTTCTAATAACACGCCAAGCAGGTGTGTTCACTTATCAAGACAAATATTCCTGATTGAAAAACCCTCTGTTTGTAGATTATGCAATAAGTAGGAGCCGAGATAAAAAAATGAAAGCTTACAAAAAAATACCACACGAACTTTTTACATTATGGACACTGATTAGGAAAGCTGACTATGTTTTATGCCTCCACTTTTGTAGCAGTCAATGGATGAAAAGAGACAACTTACAAACACTAATCTTATTAAAAATCATATGAATTGTTTATACTTAGCCGTATGTTTGCAAAAGACACATTTCTAATTTAACGTAATTAGCCATGCAAAATTTGGGGTAGAAAAACTGGTTTGAAACACTAACTTTAGCATTCAACCTCACAGTGCTTTGGAGAACCACCACTATGAGTGTCTTCAGCTTCAATAAGATCGTTCTTTTCGAAGTTATTCTTCTAATTGGTAAGTACACAGTTCTAGGCTCTGGCCGAGTGTAAACCAAGGATTTTTAAACGTTTTCTCCATTAGTTTTTACATTCGCTCAAGACGACCTACAAAGTTGATGACACGAATTTTAAAAAATAAATCAAAGAGAAAAAAGCTGTAGGAAAAGTAAATTCTATGTATCTGAATAACCGATTATTATTATCCGGGGAGGCAACGACTCCTGTGCCGTTATGCCATCCATAGAAAAAAAGAGGACCTGATAGCAGGTTATTAGTGTTACCTAGTTGAGCAAGTAATCAGTTGAAACGTCCAAAAAACTAGTATTTCAAAACAGGTCAATCTAGATACAATATTTCCTTAGAGCTGTTTTATTCCCAAGCTCTATTACTCCAGCCTTAGGATGCGGCGCCTAGGTATTTTAATTGTGGCTCCAACCTTTTACAATTACCTTTGCCTTTCATTCATGAAAGTGTTTAAGCTTTCTGTAAAGGAAGGGCAGAAATTTCAAAAACGCCTGAAGGATAGGAAAAGCGAGTCACTGAGGGAAAAACTTGCCTGATCAATACCTTACTTTAGGACTTACTTTGGAGGATGTTTAGACTCCGCCTTCAGGCCCAACCCTTAAGTTTTTTTAGGTACTGCTTTTATGCACCCGTAATTGCAAGATGGTACCTATTTCATGAACCTGATCAATATCATAGTATACCTTCTGAAAACCCTATGAAATGGAAATAATTGCGCCCTGAACCCTTGCTTACAGCGCTGATTCTTGGGCCGAGGTAGTTAAGACATACGTTGGTGTTAATGACCAAACTTATATTCTTTCTGCTTTTTGTTTGATATTCTTCACAGGATTTGTCCATGGAGGTATGTATAAATATGTTAAGAATAATCATGGAGACAGGAATTATTAGAGTTTACTTATAGAGAGTTTGTAAAGAAACAATGTTTATGAATAAAAATCAAATTAACATTCTCAGAGGGGATTTGTTTTCCAACGATTAATTTCCGTAAAGAAAATAATTATATCTGGAAATAAACAGCGAGTGATGATGAAAAAGCAACGCTCTCTTTGATCTTTTCTTATCCAAAATGTTGATCGGATATCGATAAAGAAAGCAATGGGACGACTATCAGTTGTTATAACCACTCCTTATAAAAGTTAGCTTTGCTTTTAATTTTTCTGCTCTGTGCTCTTTAACAACACATAATTTACAATTTCAGACTGCAACTCGCCACTTGGTTTGCAAAGCGAGGATATTCCCAATTCAGACATCACCGCCTCCTCCGAGGTAAGCAACTTGCCTAAATTTGTTGTATTCAACTATCGAAAATTGCTACATTTTCTTTCCTGATATGCTGTGGTAGAGGTTACCCAAGGCACATGTCTAAAAATTGCGACGAGCCAATTAGGAGACCACAAGCTGAATCCTTCTTATTTTACATGAATGGTTTGCGCCAAAATTTGATTCAGCCGATGTATAGAGTGAGAATCGCCCATTGATTTTTCTCCTATTCCAGACCATCTGATTATTTTGAGTACCATGACTTGGCCTGAAATGTTGCTAGGAAGCTGAAACATCTGGAGACATCATGATGAAAGAAAATGAGAATTGCTTATTAGCTTTCCTCCTATTCCAGACCATTTGATAATTTTGAGTTCCGTAACTTGGTCTGAAATGTTGCAACCAAGCAAGGGAGCTAAAACATTTATTTGTTTATTTGCCAATTAATCGACCAGATATCTTAGATTGGAGTTTCTTTAAAATTTTTGATCTTACTGGAATGAAATTTTAAATGACTGGTGAGATTGCGAAGGCCCTCTTACGATTTAAAATGGAGATACATTACTGTGACACCATAGATTCCTGAGAGTAAGATAGGACAGAGGAAATGAGGAAAAAATCGGATCTAGAACGGCTACCCTATAAATTCCTTCCAGTTATATCATTTTCAGAGTTTATCGATCCAAAATCGAGAAGCATCGTATTTACTTAATCATGATCTTCCTTTCACGTTGGAATATATAAATAACAATTATTTAAATATCATATAAATAATTAAAATATCATATAAATAATTTCGTTTACAGTGGGCTGCAAACCATGGGCCCAGCAATGCAAGGCTCAATCGTCCAGCTAGTGGAGGTAGAACTGGAGCCTGGTCTGCTAGAGCAAATAATATGGGACAGTGGATACAGGCGAACCTTCGTCAACTAACTCGAGTCACTAAGGTGGCAATTCAAGGAAGACAAGACCATCCACAATGGGTTACTGCATTTAAAATATCTTACAGTCTGGATGGAAAACACTTTGAATATCAACAAAAGGTATTTTTTTCAATTGAAATTTTTAATGAATTCATAACACGTTGAATAATTAGAATACTCCAGAGGTTGAAGTAGTTTGAACGTTGAAGATGAAGTAGAAGCCATGGCGTTTAAGGTGCTGAATTGCGAGGGTATTAAGCTGTTGACCCCTCTATTTACCACTGTAATAAATATTATATAAATATTATAAAAACAATACCATTTTACGGAAACTGTTCGATAAAAAATTAACTTGGTTGGGATTTTCGCTCTTTTTAATATCAATCTGGTTTCCGTTTAGATATACTACGGAAACAATGACAGAAACAGCATTGTTTTTAACATTTTAATGGCACCGATCGAGGTTCGCTTCGTTCGTCTACATCCATACGCATGGCATGGACATATCTCTTTGAGGATGGAATTTTATGGTTGCAGCTTAAAGCCAGGTAAAAAAGCTAATACAAAGATCTTATTAAATAAGTTCCGTTTCGAGTGTCATCATGCCGACAATATTTGAGCTCAAATGTGTTAACTGTATGAAGGACAGATGTTTTCCCACTCGAACAGTAAATATTTCTGAGATAAGCGCCTTTATTGTCCTCTCCAGAAGATTTACCCACGCAAGCAAACTAGTAATTTTTGCAAAAGACAAATTAAGTTAAGATGTTTACATATTGCTTTCAACAGAGTGCTTCGCCGTTTTATTTAACCTTTTAACTCCTGAGAGTGGCTGGTCTCTAATTTCTTCTTACAGTTTTACCCTTAATCAAATGTAAAGGTCATGGGAAAAAAGGAAATGATGACCAATTGAAGAAGCACATAATTTTCGAACAAATTCTTCTTGTCAGTAACATAGAAAATGTAAAGAGAATGATGCGAAGGGGATAAACAGTAATGGTAGCCTGGAAATAGATAATGACGATATCTAATTTTTTCGATAGAGTGCGCTCGCCCCTTGGGCTTGGAGAACTACCGGATTCCTAATTCAGCCATTGCATCTTCTTCGGAGGTAAGCCTTCTCCAGATTCCTCAGCGAGAATTTCAATCTGTCGTAGTATTCACGTGTATCCTCTTTTTGTCTCTTATCATTTTATTTTGATTAACTCTCGCTTTATTTTCTCAAGTTTCATGTTTCATTTTTTTAAATTTTGACATCGTTGATGTAGATTTAGTCTTGAACATATCAAGTTTATCCATTAAACGATGATCTCAAAACAATGCAATATTCATATCAGTTAAAAAAAAGTTAGTCCAGTTTATACTATCAATCCTAACAAATCTACTAATTTTTTGTATTAAGTGGGACTCCAACCATGGACCTACCAATGCCAGACTTAACAGACCTAGTGGTGGCGGGAAGACTGGTGCCTGGTCAGCCAAGAGAAATGATAGAAACCAGTGGATTCAAGTGAAATTTCCTGAGGTCACTAAAGTGACAAGAGTTGGAATCCAAGGCAGATATGATTACAATCAGTGGGTTACCAAGTTCAAAGTGTCTTACAGTCTTGATGATATTAACTTCGTTATCCTCGGCAAGGTGAGTTAAATGTCACCCGATGGTTAGTCTGGATAGTATTGATTTTTCTAGCTAAGGTGAGGTGAGGTGAAAAATGTCAGGGCTGTACGAGTTTTGTCAAGGTCCTTTACCTTTTGGATTTACTACCTTGTGCATAGCAGTAACACTAGCAGCACGTTGATTATTTTCCACCCTTAGAAATCATTGTTTAAATAGCCTTATCTCTTAACTTTTTCCGTGTTTTTACACGTCAATTTTCATAGATATACAACGGTAACAGCAACCGTAACAGCATTGTGGTCAACGATTTAGGGGCACCCATTCAAGCTCGTGTAGTACGCATCAATCCAGTCGAATGGTATGGACACATATCCCTAAGGATGGAGCTGTACGGCTGTCGTTTGCCATCAGGTGAGAGTATTTAGTGGAGTTTCTGACAAAATTAATCTTGTATGGTAGATCCAGAATGAAAGAGAAATTAAGCAACAATGAAATTTGTATATGAATATCACAGGAAGAACAATCTTTCTTCAATGGAATCTGGAGTTCGACCCTCCCTCTGATAGAAATCTCTTATCTCTATCCCTCTGATAGATATCTATCCATCGCCCTCAAACTGGAGGCTTAAAGTGTAAATCGAACTCACACACTTAAGTTTTATCTGGCCAGGTGTGACCTGAGCTTCTCAATTTCTAAGGCAAAATGTGATGTATCATTATAGAATGCGCAACCCCCTTGGGAATGGAGAACAGGGTTATCCCCAATTACGCCATAACAGCTTCCTCAGAGGTAAGAATTATCTTTACTTGAGCTTAACCTTATTAATTGAACCTTAATGTTCAAACGGACTCCACACGTGTGAGACCTTTTATTTAGTTTTTATTCATCGTTTTTTGGTTAGTTTTCCTGCTTTTATCAACTATCGTTCCTCTCAGTATTTACGGCTCTAAACATCCTTGTTAATGAACAATTACATTTTTGTTGCTAGAGCTTCCCCCGTGATAAGTCTCGCTAATTGCAATCCCAATTAAAACTAGAAATAGTCGCGACCTCAACACTCGCATTTTCCCGTGCGCAAGGTCTTTTTTGCCAACCCTTTTGAATCCCCATCGGTTGAATTTAACTTTTTTACGAACTGCATATCTGGTCATTATCTGGTTTTTGGTGCTATGACTGGAAATTAAACCGTACAGTTTTGTCTAATATAACTATTTCACTGTTAAGCTTTTCCATTTTTTACATATCGCAATGGTATCATGTTGCAAAACATTACTTATTCACAGTGGGCAGCAAATCATGGTGCGTCTAACGCAAGACTGCATCGCCCAGCGGGAGGTGGAAGGACTGGTGCCTGGTCTGCCAAGACAAACGACAAATCACAATGGATTCAGGTGGATCTTCGTGGAAAATTCAAAGTGACCAAGATTTTAACTCAAGGAAGGCATGATTATGCGCAATGGGTGACCCAGTACAAGGTGTCCTACAGCTCAGATGGGGTGCATTTCAGTGATCAAAATAAAGTAAGTTCAAAACTTTCCATTTTTACAGTTTTTTCATCGTATGTGCAGGGCTGATAATGCATGCAGTACCACTGAAGTTCAAAAGAGTGCTTTATCCACTGCTAAGCCATTATTTTAATATGTAAGAAAAGGAATACACAACTCGGTCATATTGATTTGAATATAGAGGTATTAGATTTAAAAGCAATAATCTTATTACGTCCTTTTGTAGGAAAATGCTCTTTTAACCAAAAGTCTGCCTCCTCTTTTGCATCTTTTTGCAAGGTGTATCAAGCCAACAAAGATCAAAACACCGTGGTAGTGAACACTTTAGAGTACCCGATAGAGGCGCGCTTTATACGTCTCAACCCTAAACAGTGGTTTGGTCACATCTCTTTGCGAATGGAGCTTTATGGTTGCAGTTTGAATTCAGGTTTATCATTAGTTTGTTAATTCTCTTGTCGAAAATAAGTGTCACATTTTAAGCTTTTGTGGCTAAAGGCTCAAACAACTTTGATAGTGACACAGATATAACGCAATACGTCGTAATTTGAGGAAAAAAGGTTTTGTACAGAAAACTCCCATTAAAAAATCTATTTTCAAGTAAATTTGCAGCATCTACAATGGTTTAACTTTTATCGGGTTTTGTTGCAGAAAATCTCTCCGTCAACGATATGCAAAATTTTCCATTTGTTTAAAAGTTTTAACTTACAGACTGTCAGAATATGCATGCTGCCAGCTACAGAATCAGTTTTACAGAACAAAATCTTAATACATTAACTAAAAATACGTTCTTGCAATGGTGACTGGGCAATGAAATACGCGCGGACTTTTTATGGCAGGTGTAACAACTTATTACGGACTTCTGCACGAACCCACAAATTGGAAAGGAAAGGGTTTCGGTACAATTTTGTACTTTTCGGAGTGCTTACAGTCATTTCACATCTCATACAGACCAATGATCTCCTCGGCCCATTATGGAAAGGAAAAATGTTTGCAAATATACAAATCTAAAAGAATTTGTGAAGCTTTTTTGGCTCTGCATCTCTCCCATCAGCAACAAAGATCGAGGCCGCACGAAACAACATGTCCCCTGAAGGACCTGGTACAGGATTGGCTTATCCCAGCATTCATTTGGAGCAGTATTAGAAAAGTTGCATATTAATATAGCACATGAATGTTAAGCGAGTTAGGAGGGTTGATTACCGTGAGTTAGTTGACTCAATAAAAATATAACATTGCCCTATTTTACGCTTTGGTTGAAACCATTTGCCTTCCCCATAATGTTTTGCCTTCTTTGGTAACAGAATGCATGTCTCCCATGGGAATGGAAAATAAATTTCTTCCAAACTACGCAATTACAGCCTCTTCTGAGGTAAGTTTAGCGTTACATAGAGTCTCTGCTTTAGTTTTGAGGCCAGTATTACTTGTGGGAACAACATAACAAATGCTAACTTTTAGTTAGCAAAGAGCCCGTGTTTGTGGTGCGAAATATCTCGTTAAATTGAAGAGCGTCATAGATTGAATTACGCTCTTTATATGTATGTAATGTGTTTTATACCGAGACAGGGCTATGACTAAGCTCATCCTTGCCAGTTCGCTCGTTTAGGTGAGCTATCCTCGACAAATAATAATGAGCAATAAATTGCATAGTGAGCTAAAAAAAATTAAGAACAGACATGAGCTAAAAATTCGCGATCCATGCAGGTAACCTTGAGTTTTGTTGAGTTGTTTTGTGGTCAGGAGTGGGCAACCTCTTGCCGGACGAACGTAGTGTGGAAAAAAACGTGTTCAATCTTTCAGTCAGTAGCTAAAATTTCAGATACAGAGGTCTTGCGACTCAAAGGCGCTAACTCTACCAGGAATTCAACAAAGCCAGCTGAACAGATGGTCCGTTCTGCTAAATGGGGTCACCGTGGATAAGTATCTATTTAGACTTCAAGTCTGAGGTATTTGTATCTTATTTCCCTCAGTGGGCGTCAAATCATGGAGCTTCAAACGCAAGGTTGTATCATATGGCAGGCGGTGGAAGGACTGGTGCATGGTCTTCAAGAACAAATGACAAATCACAGTGGATTCAGGTGGATCTTGGAACAGTCAAAAGAGTGACGCAAATTGCCAGTCAAGGCCGATCAGATTATGCTCAGTGGGTTACAAGATACAGAGTGTCTTACAGCTCTTTTGGAAAAGTTTTCCACGTCCAAGATCATGTGAGATAGTGATAATTAGATTGTTGTGTGGTATTTTTTAGGAGTTCCATCATACCCTCGAGAATTAAGAGGTTGTTCTTTAGTGAATATACACTTTGGGGTTTGTCTAACGTTCACTTCAGAGAGAATTTTGCGCCAGCTTGAGCAATAACTAGACACGATGTGCTATCCGGAAAGGCTCACATTGTTTAAATCTGTTCCCCTTTTCAGTTTTAACATACATGTGCAATACTTTTGCATAACTATTTTAGGTTTACCAAGCCAACAGTGACCAGCATAGCGTTGTTGTAAATACTCTTGTCAAACCAATTGAGGCTCGTTTCTTCAGGATAAAAGTTGAAGGATGGCATGGTCACATTTCCATGAGGTTTGAACTGTATGGATGTTATGTTCATTCAGGTTAGCAATGAGTCTTACATTTGGAAGTTCTCCCTGGAAAATGCACTTTCCAAGGTTACACTGTTCGTGATAAATAATATTTGAACAAAAGAAGTTACTAAAGGAAAACTAGATCATTTTGAGTGAGCTGCACAAGTGTTATTGTTTTAAAGCTAAGACACTTGTCTTTGGACCAAGGAACCTTTCTAGGAAAATCTTGTTGACTGCGCCATTATATGAAACATAGAATGAAAAAGATGATAAGTTTTGAGCTCGGTAAAGAAATAGCGAAAAATTCTTTTCGTCTGGTCACAAGCGTGGGACAAGTAAAAAAAATAAAACAGCTCGGTGTCTCCATGAGGAATCCGCGCCCCGATGCTCTACTATCGAGCCAAAGAGACTCTATGGTGAGCGAGGCCCGTTACGAGTATATGAAACAAATCAAGATCACCTGTGTTAATAGGCTTCACCCCACGATCTCCTGTGATTAGAAAACTACACGCCTGCCAAACTCAGGTCACTTACATGTAAAGCCTCTAGATTCTCCAGAATTGCTTGGAAATGATTTCATTGCTAAGGAAACTATCTCTAATTTTCACGCTTTAGAGATGGAAGCAGACCGATTGATTGGAGAGCTACACAACAAATTATAATTTTTTCCACTTGAGGATTTTTCCAACTAACGACCACTTAGTGTCATCTAATATGTCCCGTGCATTACTAACACTTGTCTAAAGATTCCCTCTGAATATAGACTCCTACTGTAATGGGCTTTTACTAAAATTGCACTTTTATTTATTTTTAGCATGTGTGTCACCCCTTGGACTAACCAGTAAGAAATTACCAAACTCGGCATTAACTGCCTCTTCTGAGGTAAGAGAGTTATTTTTAGCATTTGCACACTGTATGCGCACACATATTCATGAGCTCCTGGAAAAGCTATGCAAAAAAGCTAGTTTTTTTTTATTCGATACAATTTCTCCATCACTTCCATGTTCATACACGAAACACCAATCATTCAAATACTTTCCCATAACCACTTGATATATATTTATTGATAACTACATTGATATTGATATTTATTTATATTTATTGATAATCACATAACCACAAGGATCTTCAATATGTACATGTGCTTTACAGCTTTATTCATTTTTAAGGAAATTATTTCAGAGCAAATTTATTGTCCCATATGTTGTCATAGCTATACAGAAATTGGATCTCTTTTCTTTTGCAAGTGGGCGGGAAACCATGGGGCCAGCAATGCAAGGCTCTACCATGTCTCAGGTGGCGGGAGGACTGGAGCGTGGTCTGCTAAATTCAATAACAAGGGTCAGTGGTTAGAAGTTGATCTTGGTGAGACGACCAAAGTTACAATGGTAGTAACACAGGGACGGTACGACTATGATCAGTGGGTAAAAAGTTACAAAGTGGCCCACAGTAAATATGGCGATCATTTTGAATTCCAAAACAAGGTAAGACGAATAACGAGTACATTTCTAAAGAAACTATGGTGCTGCGCCGGCGGGAAAGTACAGCAGGGTAATCAAGTATTATAAACTGAGTTGATAATGTAAATTGACCACCGTTAAGAGTTTCAAAGCCGACGTTTCGAGCGTTAGCTCTTCGTTAGACCAATGAAAAGGGGCCAACGCTTGAAACGTTAGCTTTCAAACTCTTTACGGTGGCCAATTTAAGTTATCAACACAGTTTATAATACTAAACAACCTTGTTAAGACGAACAACATTTGCTAGTTTTGCTTCCATGTTATAACCTGGATTAATTATTTAAAACTGCATTGAATTTAGGCTTATATCGCTTAGCTAAACAAAGAATTCTCCATAGCTTGGTCAACGTGGTTCTACTCCTGACACCACTAATCTCTACCTGCGTTGTGTACCTGGTCCTGTAAAATCGTTCGTGATTTCAGGCCTATCGAAAAAAATCTTATTCCAAACGACTATTTCATAATATTGATTAAAAGTAGTGTTTAAACAGACTTTTCACCGCTACTCTGATGCCAGCAGTAAAAATTATTCCAAGTGTATAAAATAAGTCACTAATCTTGTCGCTTAACTTCAATAAGAATTAAAGGAAGGACATAGGAAATGGTTTGCCTGAGGCCAGCTTGAGAAACACTTCTCATATGTGATTCACTTCTCACCTATTGGTTATCAGTAGATTCAAACATGTGCCTTCGCTTTTTGCTTATTTTCAGGTATATCAAGCTAACGGAGATAGGAATGGTGTAATCATTAATAGGTTGATCCAACCAATCGAAGCCCGTTTCGTCCGTATTTATCCAGAGACTTGGCACGGCCACATATCTATGAGAGTGGAATTGCATGGCTGCGAAATCCGGTCTGGTAAGGTCATCTTGTTTAAAATGGGCCTACGTTTACCAAATTAATGCCAAAACAAAAGATTATTGGAGGTTCAGGTGCCTTTTCTATAAGTAAACAATGTAAACGTCATTGAATGATTCTAGATTGAGTCAGAATCGAAATGTAATTGATGGAAAGCTTTCTGCCTGAAAGATTTATTATCAGATAGCTCTGAATTTCTAAGTCTTTGCCACCTCAGATAGGGAACCCCAATATAAAATTTTCTTACCCAGAGCTTTAGGCGGTAGAATCACTCGTCTGGTTTTAAAATTAAAGTGCGGCTTGAAAAAAAAAACAAAAGTACTCATCGTGCTTCCCATTTTCGTTTCTTTCTCCTTTAACATTCATATTAGGTTGTAATCTTCCCCTGGGAATGGAAAACTACCATATACCTGACTCAGCCATAGCAGCTTCTTCATGGGTAGGTTATCTCGGTATAATTTTGTTTTTAAGACTCCAGAAAATGTATTTTTCCCTTAATTTTACAGAAAAATATAAAGTGTGTAATGACCAGAACTTGTTTGAAGATGTTGCTTCCCCTATGAAAGTTCTCTGAGCCAGTTTTTGTATCGTGCAAAACTGTTCTGAAATTAAAGGAGACCAAAAAAAGTTATACGCTCCATAGAGCAGAAGAAAGATCTACACCGGAAAAAAACCGAGTAGGAAAAGAGCAATTTCATTACTGTTATCATTAGTCCTATAAAAATACTAGTAATCTACCGTCTAACTACCGTCTTACATCAAAACTTAAATCATCGATAAAACTTTTTTTCTAAACTAGTGGGATCCAAACCACGGACCAAACAATGCCAGAATCTTCCACATGGCTGGGGGTGGAAGAAGAGGAGCTTGGTCTGCGAAGGCAAATGACAAGGGACAATGGATTCAAGTAAATCTTAGAAAAGCCATGAAGGTGACCAAAATTGGAATGCAAGGTCGTCAGGATTACGCTCAGTGGGTCACCAAGTACAGAGTGGCTTACAGCACGGATGGTCAGCACTTTTCAGTTCAAAATCAGGTGAGCGAAAACCACCCTTTAAGCATTATTTACTTGCCACTTTTAAGCTCTTAATTAGTTTGCATTTCCTGCATTTTTTAGACGGAGGTCACGGAGTCAGGTCAGCTAAACAAATTAATGAAAATATCAACCCTGAATCAAAAATCTCTGCGATACAGGATGCACGCTTTTTTTAAATGATCACAATTAATTCGTTTTATGAAATCTTATTACAACAACCGATGATAGTACTCTGGAAAAAGATTCAACGGCTGGTTTTATGCTCGATGACTCGAGTCCACACACGCGGATTTTCCAAAAGTAGAAAACCTGTGAAAACTTTTTGAATGAATATATGATCTACCTCGAAACTTTGACGAAATCAGATTGATCAAAAGTCGCATTGAAGTTTCATGAGTTATAAACAGCAGTACCTTGGATTTGACCATGTTGAAAGTACATATATTTAATGCCAACGTAGTTTCGAGGGAAAATTCCTACTCGAGAAACAATGTGTTTTTGAAGCTGTTTGATAATCATATGCGATACCATTTCAGAAATATTCAGGAAACGGGGATCAAAATACTCTTGTCATAACTGACGTGGCCCAGTCAATTAAGGCACAGTATATCCGAATCCTTCCTCAAGAATGGCATGGACACATCTCTCTGAGGATGGAGTTGTACGGCTGCGACACTTCAGGTGATAATTCCTTAATTAGCAGTCCATTACTTTTCTCCTCATAACAAAACTAACAGAATTACTTTAATTTCGTGGCAATTTAGGGGCTATCGACGGTGGTTACTCCGAATGGGAAGACTGGGGAGAATGCTCGGTGTCATGTGGAAGAGGATCACGTTCAAGGAGACGATCATGCAATAATCCTGTTCCACGGAATGGTGGTTCAGACTGCTCATCCCTGGGACCTATGGAGGAATTTGAATCCTGTAATATGCAGCCTTGCAGGGGTAAAGAATGATAAGACGAGAGGGATACAACCAATCCCTGTTTATTAAAAAAAACCCCTTTGTTTCACAACGGAAATAAAAGTTTGTAGAATTGGCTATCGACGGTTGATTTATTTAGATACAGTGAGACGAAAAAGATATCTTATTTGGTCTCATAATATATAAAAATGTTTTTACTTGGGGGATTTATTCCCATTTCTCTTTCAGTTTAGGCGACGCTTTGTTTGTTTCCAAATGATTAACGAAACTCACAACAATTCAAATTCAACTTAGTTGATAACAAGCAGTCGAACGAATACGTTCGCTGGGCTGGATTAACTTATGGCTGAAAGTGGTAATCTTCACTAGAGTAACCTATCTCACCATTGACTCAAGAAGGATCTCATCCCGAATAGTTTCGAAGCCGAACTTAACTAAGTTTTCATCTTTCCTTCTCATACGTTGGAGACTTTTTATCCTCATTGTTATTTTTCCCGCATGGATATGATCCTGGAGGTACACACTTTGATTTGCAATTGGTGCAACGAAATACTCCCACAAGGGCCACAGGAAATATTCCATTACAACGTTAGGTTACCTGTGTTAGTACATGGAGGTAAAATGACCGATTAAATTCATTTTAGATTGTGACACCCCTCTGGGAATACAAAGTGGAGATATTCCAAACTCCGACATTACATCTTCTTCCGAAGTAAGTTCAACAGGTGGTGAATAGAAAAATGGATCGATATCAGTTACTGAAGCTGTAGATATTTTTTAAATATAGATGCTTTCTACGATTGTCTCTTAATACTTAATGATGAATGATTCGTCTTTTCTAGTAGGGAAATCGATACTAACCATTTTGATATTCCTGCTCTCCTTAGTGGGATGCAAACCACGGGCCCAGCAATGCAAGGATCAATCGTCCTGCTGGTGGAGGTAAGACTGGAGCCTGGTCTGCCAGAGCAAATGACATGAAACAGTGGATTCAGGTGAACCTTCGTCAACTGACTCGTGTTACTAAAGTGGCAATTCAAGGAAGACAAGACCATCCACAATGGGTTACTGCATTTAAAATATCTTACAGTCTGAATGGAAAACATTTTAAATATCAAGAAAAGGTATCTCTCTGAATTGAAATTATAATTAATCCAAAACATGTAGGCAAGAAAATATCATGATATCCTCCAGCATGTGGACTTCTTTAGTTTACAGATCATTTCAGTGGGCTAAATAATTTAGCATTTAACGTACTAAATTTCTTAGGCCTTGACCACACAAAAAGAATTTAGTAACCCTTGTATGTCACAGAGAGTTGCAACCCGACACTACTCAAATTATTGCAATGAAAATCTACACTGAATAGAGAGAGAAAACCCTTAAAACCCCTTAAAACCCCTTAGTTATCTTAATGATTAGCATGCAACCTATCTTGTCAATTTCGATTTATCAGCTGTATGTAAAATTGAATATGATTGGATCGGGGTGTAATATAGTCAGATCATTTCATAATCAAATCCTTTGAAACACTTAATCAGTAAAGACACGAAGCATAAAGGAATAATCTAGAAAGGGTATAGCAGAGCTTGATTAAACATCAGTTTTTAGCTATTAAGCCAAACTCTCTAGAAACGTATTCTTTGCTTGTATTTTTTTCTACAGATTTACAATGGAAACAATGACCAAAATAGTATTGTCGTGAACACCTTGGTAGAACCAATCGTTGCCCGGTTCATCCGCCTTCATCCGTACGTCTGGCATAGACACATTTCGTTGAGAATGGAGCTTTATGGTTGCACACTAAGACAAGGTGATACGAAAATTCCTATCAGAGCCCCTGTTAACCACTTGCTTTCGCTGGTTTCCTTTTCGTGAAAATCTTAAGCATGCTAGCGTTTATTCAAACGGCAATATTCTATACACATTTCTTGCATTGTTTCCATTAAGGTAACAACCCAATTTTTCTCAATCATAAATCAGTGTAATTAACATTGCCTGCTTTTCCTCTTCATCCTTTTTTGACTTTGTAGAATGCAAATCTCCCCTGGGTATGGAAAACTACAGGATCCCAAATTCAGCAATCACAGCCTCATCAGAGGTAAAATAACGGTTATATGTCATTGATTTTTTAATTCTTAAATTACTTTCAGAAAATTCTTTATGGATGAAAGCATTATCACGAACCGATTAGAGTTTGAATTTCTTTATTAATTTTATATGCAGCATTAATTCAGAATTTATTGTCCTTATGCAAAGCTTTCAAAGCCGTACCCTGTTGCTACAATTTCCTCGGAACGTAAGTGTAAGACTAACTGTATGTGTTTTATGAATGAATGTCGGACAATGTACCTATAAATTACCCCTTCAAACCGATGAAATGAATGAAAAATCGAACCAAACAATCGACTGATGGGTTGGTCAATGGATCTATCTATCAAGTAAATGAGTGACTTGATGGTTGGATGACCGATTGACAGAAATCGATCGATCTCTTAGTAATAAAATTTGTTTACATTATTGCTCCAAGTGGGGCGCCAACCATGGACCAACCAATGCCAGACTTAACAGACCCAGTGGCAGTGGGAAAACTGGTGCTTGGTCAGCCAAGAGAAATGATGCAAACCAGTGGATTCAAGTAACGTTTTCTGAAGTCACTAAAGTGACAGGAGTTGGTATCCAGGGTAGATATGATTACAATCAGTGGGTTACCAAGTTCAAAGTGTCTTATAGTCGTGATGGTATTCACTTCGTTATCCTCAGCAAGGTGAGTTAAATATCACCTAACTAAAAGAGTGATACTTGCCAGTTTCATTACGGCAACACTTGAATTAAGGATCAAGAAATCTACTTACTCTAAAAATTAAGAAACTATAGTGGCTATTTTGTTCTCGTTATCACCCAGGATATTATTGGTATTATCATTACTGTTATTATTATTGTAATTACATTTGTTATCTTCATTATAATAATTATAACTAATTATACCAATGCCTAAATAGCATCTTAATAATTAAGCTATGACTCAAATTGCTTTGTGACTGTTGTCATAACCTGTTAAAAATAAATCCCAGTAATGCATTTAATTATATAATCGATGTATCGATGATTAGAACAGACATGATATGCCTAGATTTTTCAATTACCTGTTGCATATAAATTTTCATAGATATACCAAGGAAACAACAACCGAAACGGAATCGTTTTAAACGATTTAGGAACATCAATTATAGCTCGTGTAGTTCGCATCAATCCAGTTGAATGGTATGGACACATATCCCTGAGGATGGAGCTGTACGGCTGCCGTTTACCATCAGGTGATCTTTACTTCGCTACCAACTTATAGTTACCTAGGAATTAAAACCACAGTAAGAGAGAGAGAAACGTTTAAGGGGTGGGGGTGGTTGGGGATGCTTACATGGGGGGTTTTGAATGAGGGAGCGTGTTGCCAATGCGTGGACAATTGGCTCTGATTTTACTAAGTGCAAAGTTGAATCTAAAGTGTATAACAAAATGCTGATTGGACAAAACAAACAATAGTAACGGAACAATGTATGCAATTACAACGGAAGTTTTGAATCAACATGACAAATTTGATGATTACGTGTAGGTTACTCCCATTGAACGTGGATAGATTCTTTGCATTGGTCTTACGTTGGAAAGTTGTGGGTGCGCGGTCAAAAATGCTAAAACACTCATCAGAACATAGAGTGCGACATTGTGGAGAATTATGTAAATGTTTGAAAATTTTGAGAGGTCCTATGACTAGAAAACTATTTTTGTGAAGTGATATCAACACTCTACATACAACCATTACTACGTTCGAAATTATAAAATTATTAACTGAGCAAATGAAAATAAATTGCCTTTCAGAATGTTCCAGACCTCTGGGTATGGAAAACCAGCTCATCCCCGACTACGCCATAACAGCATCTACTGAGGTAAGAAACTGTGCGAGAAACCTGCTTAGCTATGGTAAATTAGATTTGATTACATCATTTTAAAATCTTGATGCAGCATTCATTTATAGAAATTATCTGTAAAATAAAGTATTTTGAATTCATTGGTTTATTATAACTTAGTGGACAGCAAATCATGGAGCCTCTAATGCAAGATTGCACCGCCCAGCAGGCGGTGGAAGGACTGGTGCCTGGTCTGCGAAGAGAAATGACAAATCACAATGGATTCAGGTGGATCTTCGTGAAAGATACAAAGTGACAAAGGTTCTAACGCAGGGAAGACAGGATTATGCGCAATGGGTGACCCAATTCAAAGTTTCATATAGCGTGGACGGAACTAACTTTATATTTCAGAACAAGGTCAGTGCTAACGAAGTTGAAGCCGCGGGCTTTGTTTTCCAGAGGAGGCATTGATCGTTTTACGATATATGCATTCGGTTACCTTCACTTGTTTAGGTGTACCAAGCTAACAGCAACCAGAATACAGTTGTGGTGAACGCTTTAGAGAAGCCCATACAGGCGCACTTCATACGTCTTCATCCCCAGAAGTGGTATGGTCACATATCTTTGAGGATGGAACTGTACGGCTGCAGTTTGAAAGCAGGTCAGTCTTTTACTAATTATTAGGTCATAAGGCTTCTAGGTCATCTTTATCGAATAGAAGAGGAAATTCTCTGAAGTCTATCAGCGAAAAGTATGGTACCATGATGAATATATTTACCATTCCTCAATTTTACCTCACTAAAGCAGTCTATAGAAGTTCTAGTCTTGTCTAGACTTGTGGTTGAAAATTGAGGAATTTTTCTTGAAGATTTCATATCCGAAGAGTTTCTAACAGACTTTTAGCTGGTAAACGAGCTTGATAATAGCGTAGCCTGTAGAGAAGGCGTAATTTTGGCGGGCGAGTGCTCAGCATTATCTTTGTTCTCAGATTGTACTTCGCCGATGGGAATGGAAAATAAGATGCTACCAGACTACGCAATTACAGCCTCGTCTGAGGTATTTTTATGTATCGGTTTTCTCTCATATAGTCAGTCTACGCGACATAAAGCAATTTTTGATCTGGGGTTACTTTTTGTTGTGTTTCATCTCGCTCTGTGATCGGTCAAGAAAACTAACACCGGCAACTGAAACTATCAGATTAAAATGCGAAATTGATAGGGACGTCTTCGACTCCGTTTTCATAGTCTCATTTTCAAATATCTGTTCTCTATGAATGTCTTTTACAACATTGCTTTTGATTTAGGTTTCCCTTACACTTACATGTAATTCTAATCGGAAAAAAAACCAAAAAAAATTAAGTAGAACAGTTAATAGGAACCTTTTATTCCCAATTCAATCCACTCAATACACACAACAGGTCTTTTCTGAATAGCCCACATTAATTGCATGAATTTTATCAACTTTGACCCACCTCATTTTCACAACGCTTTCATTTTCTCTTCACAAAGTGGGCTTCAAGTCATGGAGCCTCAAATGCGAGGCTGTACTTTATGGCAGGTGGAGGAAGAACTGGTGCATGGTCTGCCAGAACAAATGCAAAATCACAGTGGATTCAGGTGGATTTTGAAAAAATGAAGAGAGTGACGCAAATTGCTAGTCAAGGCCGTTCAGACTACGCACAGTGGGTAACGAGATACAGAGTGTCTTATAGCACATTTGGAAAGACGTTTAAGTCCCGCGATCATGTGAGTTACATCAAGAAAACTTCATGTAATATCATGTCCTATTCCGATACAATGGAGAGCTTTCAATTTGATTTTAATAGGTCATTGAATACCATTTTAATTCTTGGAAATTAGACTTGCTGCTTCGTGGAAGATACTATAAAACAAAGGAAATACGTAAGGAGGATTGCTTGTTTCCCCTGACTCGAACCACCTTAAGGACACAAATGTAGTAATTCTTGTTACTTTCTAATACTTTTATTGTCAAAATCGTTGGTTTCAATGTGTAAGTACTCGCCCTGACCCTTCGTTCAATACCAAGCGTAAAGTAATCCCTAAATTAAAATTTTTGGCTAAGGAACGAAAAGCAAGCGATGAGAGTCAAACGCCAATGCAGAACTTATCATTGATATAATTATCATTATTATTTGAATGACTCTAAGAGTAATGAGCAAAATTGTTCCAGTGATAACAGAGTTGCTTGTGCTCTGATTGGTCGAGGTTTTCGTCATATCACGCTATAATTATCTTGCTCAAGGTGATTATAGCATCAGCACGAAATTTCAAAATAGCAGCTTTGCGTTTTGTCAGGCCACCGAGGAAGTGACAAACGGAATAGAAGTAAAATCTAAGTTTGGTTTAACAGTTTTCAAAATAAAGATGTCAAGTTTTTGCTGATTGAAATAAATAAACCTGTTAAATTCTAGGAGAGAGTGGAGCTTATCTCTGTACGAGTAATCAAACAACTTTGATAGAATGATTACAAAAAACAAAGTGAATTTACAACAGGATTCGAAAGCACGTAAGAAATTATATTCAAACAATTACTAATCTCAGGCTTAGTGAATATTGCGGAATAATTCCCTCGATTTTGTCTCGGGGATTATTCAACAATATTTTCTTCGCCTTCGGCGAATACATGTTAAACATTATTCTTAAAAAATAAATCTTAATTCATTCTTAGATCGCTCTTGATTTCGGAAATCCCACAATTGCTTAGAAATGGGCGATTCTGTGCTTCGAATCTTGCATGTGCTGGGTAACCTGCATGAAATTAAAAAGGGAGTGTATTCATAAAACCAACAGGTTTAGGGCGAGCTAACGTTACAAGCTCGTGATCGTTTACCCGACGAGCCATATTTGATTTGGAAGTTAGGTTAGACACCCCACCCCTCTCCTTATTTTGACCGTCAACTGACCCCCTTGGTACAAATTTATTTTTCTCCTCAATCTTTCGCTGCCATTAAAATCAAATGGCGGCCATTATTTTTTGTCAAGAAAATACTGAGCACTCGCTTGCCAAACCACCTGCTTTGCAGGCTACTAAAACCCGTAAGATATATATGTAAAGATACTCTTTTTGTTCTTAAGAAGAAATATTTTGCGTACAAGTTCAACTTTATTTGTGGAACATGGTTTACGATAGGTAATTCAGCTAAATGCGCACTTGGCTTTAAACTGTCTTCCTGAAATTTTTTTTTTTAAACTTGTTTCCAGGTTTACTCAGCTAACAGCGATCAACACAGTGTTGTTGTCAATACCCTCGTCAAACCCACTGAAGCTCGTTTTTTCAGGATAAATGTTGAGGGATGGCATGGCCACATTTCAATGCGGTTTGAACTGTATGGATGCGATGTTTTTGAAGGTAGAGTTTGATGTTTTTATTCAATTTATTCTTCGTTTGTTTGTTCGTTCAGGCATTTTGGCCATTGCAAATGTTGGGCGCAATTGTTACTATTATTGTTATTATTTTAGCTAATATTTCAACTGTGATGGGCACGCTGATGGTAAACGTACCAGGTTATAGCTGTTGATCATGACTTTTCATCCTGTGATTATGAGATAAATGCCGAGTCGTGTTGAGGATGTTTTCCAATGGAGCTTGTGAGCATACTCAAACCATGGGGAAGAACACAATTAATTTTTCATTAATGAGTAACGTAACGTTGCCACATTCTGTTTATAATACAACAGAGCAATGCATGATACATAGATACTTATATGTTTTAGCATGTGTGTCTCCGCTCGGACTAACCAATAAGAAATTACCTAACTCGGCACTGACTGCGTCTTCTGAGGTAAGAAATATCCTTACAGTTCTTCTTCTCTACCAAACGATTACAATTGAGTGATTGGGTAATTTTGTCGTCGTTATCATGCAGAGATGACAGCGGTCAACGTAGTGTGATGCAGAAGTAATACGCTCATTCCTTTATGTTGTCAGTGGGATAGAAACCATGGACCCAGCAATGCAAGACTCTATCATGTGTCAGGTGGTGGAAGGACTGGAGCCTGGTCTGCTAAACTGAACAATAAAGGTCAGTGGTTGGAAGCAGATCTTGGTGAAACGACAGCTGTCGCCATGGTGGCGACTCAGGGACGATACGACTATGATCAGTGGGTGAAGAGCTTTAAAGTGGCTTACAGCAAGTACGGGAGTCATTTTGAATTTCAAAACAAGGTAACTTATGAAATAAATCGAAAATTAATTGCATAACTTTTTAACTTTCATGAGTGACCAAGACAGAATTTCTCCCTACAATATCAATACAATATCAACCAGATAAGTGATGAAAATAAAGAAAAATATCAATTTAGGGATAATTAGTTGATCCAATACTAAATTCTCTGAACTAATATTATAAGAATTTTATGGTTGACAGTAAGGAGAATTAGAAATTTGATCTGGAAGTTAAAGGGCTAAGTAAAAGGCCTCATCTTAACCGATATTTAAGGGAGAGGACTGAAACTAAAAGAATCAAAGCAAACCTATCATTATCAATATCGCGTCAACTAGAACTACCACTTCAATTGCTATGATAACCATAGTCATTATCGTTATCATTAACATCCTTTTAATAAGGGCCGTTATTGTTTATGATCTTTATTAACGATCTCCCGGGTGAAACTTTAGGCGGGGTTAGGGCAGTGTTATCCGCTGATGACACCAAGTTGTATAAAAACGTCAGCTCTGTCAGCGATTGCCTGTCTCTGGAGACCACTCTAGCAAACTTGAATGCTGGTCGAAGGTAAATAACATCAACTTCTTCACCTCGAAATGTAAAACGCTTACTGTGACGCGGAAGAAAACCCCCTTGATTTACGAGTACACCGTAGACAATACACAACTTGAGCAAGTGGCCGCGGAAAAAGAGTTACAATTACGAGTACGATGTATTGGCACTCTCATATATACACCATCACCGCTGAAGCCAACAAGCTCCTTAGGCTCCTAAAGCGGACATTTCTCTATCTAACTGACACGTCTACCCGGCGTATGCTATACTTATCACCAGTCAAGTCACAACTCTGCCACGCTACTTAAGTCTAGTCGCCTGCTCAGGTTTCCCTGAAGGCACAAGTCGAGCGAGTGCAGCGGCGCTACCAGATGGATCTTACAAAACCGGATTGGCGAGATGTTCTTCAGACTCATTACCCTGGACTTACTCCCTCTTACCTATGACAGAGAACTGAAAGACTTGGTATTCCTTAATAAGTGGTTATTTAATCATATTCACCTTGATGTACATATTTTCACCAACTTTATTACTCACGGCCTTACTAGACTAAGTAACTTCTTTAATTTAAAAACACTAATCTGTAAAACGAGCGCTTTTCAGGCCTCCTACTATAATCGCATTTTAAAACTTTGGAATTACTCTTGTTTTGTTGCTCCCTCTTCTAGTTTTTCGAGTCCGCTTTCCTTCCAGCTTTTCGTTAAACAAACACTTTTTGACCGCCTGAGAACGTCCTTTGACATTGATTAGCCCTGCACGTGGACACTAGTTGGAACTTGCTCGTGCCACAAGCTACAGTTGCTGCTGACACCACAAAAACTCGTTATGATTTAGATTTCTCGTGCTTTATTTTATTTTAACGGTGCCTCGCATGGGACGCCAGTCCCGGTCGCACCTGCCCTTTCGAGTCAGAATTACTTTTGTTCCTATCTCCATTTATCTTTGTCTCTATGTGATATGTTTTTGTAGTTAGTACTATGTTATAAACCCAATAAAGTTGTAAAAAATATATATTGTCATCTTTATTACTTCCTCCGTCTAACGATAGCCACTACTCAATAATTAGCAAGGTTACAGTTCTTGATTGAAATCCAAAATATAAGGTAAGACATCGTAATCGTTAAGTGCCATTTCATTTTGAGGATGTTGTATTTTGCAGGTGTATGATGCAAATACCGACAGAAACAGTGTAATCGTCAATGAATTGATTCGACCAATCAAGGCGCGTTTCGTTCGCATATATCCTGTGTCTTGGCATGGGCACATGTCTATGAGAATGGAATTTTATGGCTGTGAGATCCATACAGGTAACTGCAAATCGCTTAATCTGGGTGGTTTCTTCCAATAAATAAAATGTTGCCAAATCCTTCAAAACGTATTGAACATAAATGGCGATCGTATCAGCACTCAGCAGAGTATCCAGGGGACTTCGCTATTCAAGAGGAGGCTTCAGGAGTGAAAAAAAGGTTTCCTTGAATTTCCTTGTCCTTGCAACGAAAATAAACAATATAGCGGTGTACGAAAAATTTATATTTCACTGAGATCAATATTGTTGCCCCTTTGTCAGAGGAACGTGTTGCCGGAATGATCGGCGTCCCACGCAGGAGAGAATTTTCGCAGTCATCTTCCATGAGGGGACACCTCTATTTATGGGTCCCTTGTACTCGTCCTGAGGGAGTGCGAGGGTTCCTCAGCAAACGTTTGCCATTGTCTCCATTTAGATAGATAAATACGTCATTAATTTACGTTCTTAAGATATATTTGATAGCAATAAATGCATAAAAATCTTAGAAAGATTGTTGCGTCGATGCCGAAAGAGGTTTGCGACTGAATTCACCTACGTAGGTCAGAGAGGCCGCTGTTGTTGATAACCTGATCATATTTAATTAATTAAACGCATTTTAAAAGTTAACTTGATGTTTTTATCTTATTAGAATGTTCGTTGCCCTTGGGATTGGAGAATAACTACTTAGCAGATTCAGCAATAACTGCTTCGTCAGTGGTAGGTTGACCTAAAGTTATAAGCTCCAGGTTAAACTAAAGGGATATAATTGGAAACTTATCTCACCGATCACGATTAGGCCTTTTTTATGAATGAGCTTCATAGAGGAAAAGCGTAAATGCTCTCATCAGTCCTCAATAATTTAAATAGCATGGTAACAATGTAATGAAAAATAGGTGTAATTTTTTTTTTAACAAATCAGTGGGATGCAAACCATGGACCAAATAATGCCAGAATATACCGCATGGCCGGAGGTGGAAGAACAGGGGCCTGGTCTGCGAAGACAAACGACAAGGGACAATGGATTCAAGTAAATCTTGGAAAAATTACCACGGTGACCAAGATAGGGATCCAGGGTCGTCAAGATTACGCTCAGTGGGTCACAAACTACATGGTGTCGTACAGCCAGGATGGTCAACACTTTGCAATTCAGAATCAGGTGAATTGTTCTTTCATAGAAATTAAACCTCATTCCCTCACACTCGACATCAAATAAGTACCAAACTATGTTACCGGAAATGAAAAGGTATTTGTGAAAGAGGTAGGCATCGACAAGAATGACTGAAGTGAAAACATTTTATTTTGAGTAGCTTTTGCCTACCACTGTTGGGAACCAGATCAGGTCAGTTTTAGTGGCATTCTTTGCCAAAAAGCTACGCTCAGGGCGCTCCTTCACATCCGACAGTACACACAGGGAGGGTAGCAAATCTTCAGGAAAAAGATTTCAGACGCGTTAAGTGCCCTTAACCGACAGACATCCTTAGTAAGAGGAGAAGAGACGCTTTCACTCTCTACTTGCCAAAGAAAATAGTGCTCAAGGAAGCAGCCACCTAACCCACCATTAACAGGTCGTGTCAATATAATTTCGTTTCGTTTAATTGCAATTTTAGGAATATGTTGGGAGTAAAGATCAGAATACCCTCGTTATCAACGACTTGATAAAATCAATCAAGGCACAGTACGTCCGCATCCTTCCACAAGGATGGCATGGACACATCTCAATGAGAATAGAGCTCTACGGTTGTGTCTCAAGTAAGATAAAACTCTTTAACCTAAGCAGCGGATCAAAGTTTATTTTAAGGCTGGCATGAACTCAAAAGACATTTTGCTTTACAAAGGAACAGTTTATGGCGGATACTAGCTCTTTTGAGTTCTAGGCGGTTTGTTTATTCTTGCTTTGAGTTCTTCTCGCTTAGGGACAGTTTGGTAAATGCAGTAAGTCATACGCTAGCGCACAACGTGTCGAGCGCTAAGGCGAAGAAAAGAGGATACCGCGAGAAGAATTCAAAGAAAAAAGAAACAAACCGCTTAGAGTTCAAAGGGGCTAGATGAACTAGATAAAGATAAAGCGAACTAAAGGATTGCTTTCGAACCCCATCCCTCAAGTCCTCTTATTGACTATGCTATTATAACCACAGTAATTGATGGTGGTTTTACTGAATGGAGTGAGTGGAGCGCTTGCTCGGCAAAATGCGGCTATGGAATACAAGAAAGAGTGCGTACATGCACCAGCCCCTCTCCGTTAAATGGTGGAAAAGACTGTGAAGGAGCAAACAAGCAGCTTCAGACATGCACCAGCGGTGAATGCTCCGAATCTAGTAAGTGATGATTGATTTCGTTGTCATATGAAGAAAGCTTTCATTAGCGAGCTCGAGAAAAAAACAAAAAGTGAAAAATTGTATTTCTCTTCCTGTCGGCATTCTCTTTCTGATTGCCGAGTGTTATTTACATTAGTTTATCTGTTTTTTTTTTTTTGTACAATTTGATTTTCAGGAAATCCGTAACAGGAATGAGTTGAACAACCATGACGAGTACCAAACATCGAAAAATGGACTGATATTACATGTAGAACAAAAATGATGATTATCAGAGAGTAAAGGGAGTAGAAAATTTTAGGTTATATCAGAATTGACAAAGATGAATAAAAAATCTTAATGCTGCAAATTGAGTCTTACAGTTTTTCAGATTTTATTGTATTTTATGGCTGGACATTTTAGGCGGAGGGGACGTGTTTCCATGCAGAGGGGACGTGTTTTCATGCAGAGAAGACGTGTTTTAAACGTGTTTTCCGCTGTAAGGTGTACGTATTGGAAATTATACAAAGAGAATTCCTATTAACGTACCGAGAGGACGATTTTGACAGGGAGGGGAAGACTTCAATAGAAACGCATTTTTAACGCACATAGAGCCATGATGAACCAGTTAAAAACCTAGTAGGAGCCAACATATTAATAAACTGGATTTGCGTAAGAAAGATAGGATTGAATAGGAGAATCGCGATCCTGGTAGAACCATCAACGAAATGGAATAATGGTATTGTCTGCTGAAGGTCATACTACATAAATTGAGACAAAAAGTTTTGCTTTGGAATGTTCTTTAATATACCTATTAAGTGCACTAAACCCTGTTCCCATGGCCAAGACCCACACATAGGCGCTAGACTACTGTTTCATTTTTCCATTTTATGTGTCGTCCGTTTCTGAATTTGATTTCCTTTGTCTGCAAAAGATGAAAATTGATAATTAAAGCATTCTCATTAGCACTTGTCAATTGAATTCAGTTGCCCAGTTCTGTACTGGGAACCAAAGAGTGCATGTCAGACTGAAGGTGCTTACGCAATGCTAGTCCAACACAGGTCATCCTTGGTTTTAATTATAAATTTATCAATTATTTAGGCCTATTTAGGCCTGTTTAGGCCATCAGCAGGATATCCCTACGGCAACGGACCACAAACGAAACCTGATCCGAAGATGCACCAATCTCAAAATTTCATTCGATCTAAGCCGAGCACTTCAGCATATAGGCGATGCGTACTCAGTCGACCTTATCGCCTGAAGTAGGCCAGCAGTATGCAGTCAAAATGTCGCGATCCACATCTAAATTGACCACATCGTGAGAAGAACGATTAAATTTCTCTTTTGAAAGTGTTATGTACACGATCACCAACCGAAACCTATTTTACGATAATTAGGCCTAGTTGGAGGGTTGTCTGAGATGCAAGTGTCCCTAATAAAGTTACTCTTTATCACAGACGGAAGTCAGGTCCAAACTTATTGACCTTTCAAGTTTCAGAATCAGAGCCGTAGCTAGCACGAGGCAAGACGTGTTTGTAGACCACAATGAGAACTACTGGTTCTACCAGTAATTGTGTTATCCAATAAAGTCATTATTTATTTATAGGGCGAGGGATTTTGGCCCAAGATTGACTTTTCTAATGAAAAATGCCACCGAAAATGCTTAAAAGAGCATTTCTGAGCCTCCAGATTTCAAAATGTTCGGGGGGCGGGGGCATGCCGCCAGACCCACCTAGCGGCTCGCGCCTTCGGCGCTCGAAACTTACCTCGTCTTGTTCCGAAGTCTGGCCACGGCCCTGAGAATAGAATGATTTTCAAGACATCGAGATCAGAAACACGCACCACATGACCCTGAGACCAATCTGCCAGCTATTTTCTTATCTCTTTCGCGAGAACTAATTTATTTATCATTAAATATGACAGTATAACCTACCTTAACAATTATTACTCAAAACGGTAAACAAACATGTCACCGTCAATTTCACTGCCGGATCCTTTGCGGCATTCTGAGGATTCCCCGTACACGTCGTACTCGTTCTTGCCACTATTATCTGCCCAGCAATTCTTGTCGTCAACACCAAATACCGTGTAGCCAGAATCCTTAGCCTTCTTTGTGCACGCTTCAAGGATGTTTTCTTTTCCTTGATAGTTTTCAACATTGTCATCGAATGAGTCTGGTAAAGCTAGTATAGGTCCTTTGTTGATGTAACAACCCTTTTTGTTCCATTCCCCTTTTTAAAGACAAGAAGACGAATTAGCCGATCTACGTTGCAAAATACTTTAGTACATCAACAATATACTTATCCTTTTAAATGAATAAAGGAGATAGGTTTTTAAAGAAACTGTGATGCTGCGTCGGTGGGAGGGTAATTTAGTTTTGTCATTTGATAATGAGTTGATAACGTAAATTGGCTACTATTAACATTTTCAAAGTTGATGTCCCGAGTGTTAACCCTTCGCCATTCGTTCTGAAGAAGGGCTAACGCTCGGGACGATTTGAAACTCTTTACGGTGGCCAATTTACGTTATCAACTCAGTTGATAATAATAAATTACTTATCCTTAAGTCTTTTGTAAGTAACCGTTTCAAACCCTTTACGATCTCGAGGCTATAACGTTATCGTATTAATAACTCACTATAAATCTATTACAGGTACAAGAATGGAAAAAATAAACATTTTTATTGAGTATAAAATGCGCAATGAAAATATCGCACCAACACATATACCTCGAAAAAATAGTTCATGAATAAATGACAAAAGCTTGATTTTGTTGCTGTAACGCCGTATAGTGGAAAAATAAGTCATTCAAAATGGTAACAGAATGAATCGTCAAGTTTTACCTCATGTGTAAAGTGGTTAATACTAAGTTCAGTTGCCATTCAGTTTTAAATAGAGTGATTCGCACATTCGAAGCCAGACAGATTGCAAAGCGCACTTGTTGTGACGGAATGAGAAGAGATTTTAATTTACTTCATTTCCAGCTTTGCTTTCGATAATCACGGAAATGATTCCTCAAGGAAACCATTGTACTTTCAATTTGACAATGTGTTCTATACCTGATATAATCTTTCACTTTTACAAGTTAGTCTCCCGAAAAAAGAAAAGATGAATTGTTATTATATGATTGGAGTAAAAAAAAGAATTTCCCACCGCTTGCGTCCTTCTCGTAGACAAACATTGTTCCCGACTCTGACAGACCACCACTTAATGATACCTTCTTTGCGTCTGAGTACTGGTCTGAGGTTCCATATTTGGTGAATGTGCTTTCTGCCTTTTCACCAGTCCAGCATCTCCTGTCGTCCATACCGAACAAGGTCACACCATCATTGTCAGCCGCTGACGTGCATGCTGCATAGCGGGCGCTTATTGATGACTTGCTCCCAACTCTTTCAAGGATCTGTCCGAGGGCGCGAACGCTATTCATGAAGCAGCCAACCGGCCTCCACTCAGCTTTTGAAGAAAGGAAAAAAAATTATTTTGTGACATAAAATGACTCTGAAGTAATACTACTTTCCTTGCAAAGAGTTGTAGTCCAATGCAGGTTACCTTTGGCAAACTTCTTTAAGAAAGAGTCAGCGGTCTACACCCTCAGGATGAAGGTAAAAATGGATGGGGTTAAATGCCTAGTCTCAGATAACAACGCTATAGTGTGGACTGCTTAATCATGACTAATTAGTCCAAAGCGGTTTCTTCACAAAAAATGATTTTGACATTTAATAGTTATTTTGGTGCGTTTATACAGATTTACAATAAAGCTGTGCTTAAGATCAGCATAATTTTCAAAAGCTTATTTTTTGTCATTTCGATCTCTGTGCTTACTCAAGCTTAACTTTGAACCGGGTCGGCGGTTTCCGTCGAGTTATACTCATAAAAGAAGATGGAGTTATAATAACTAGAGATAAGTTGCTGAATTCGTTCCTTCTCAAGCCTTATGACTCACATTGTCGGTGTACATCTCGGCTTCCGAAACGAGCAGCTTATCTGATCGGGAGAATTGCTACTCCCTGTGTTTTAGGAGCTAGTTGTTAGTCGCAGGGTACCCAGTGGGGTACCCTGCTGGGCACCCTGCTGGAGGTTTTCAGGTTCCCTGGACAGTTTGCATTATCTTTTAATACTCCTGACTAGAGTGACAATGAACCTTATGAAAACCAGTGTAAGAAGAAGACGAGAAGTGGATAAATGTAAGTCTTGACGGGCAGAAAAATAGTTTTGCACGTGCATTTTAAAACTTTGTATATTTTCTCACCGTTCTCTGGTAAACAATAACCTTAAATTACCAAGTACTTTGTTGTCTGCGAACGAACACCTCGACAGGAAATTTTGTGTCTCTTCATGACATTAATGGCTCCATTTCAATTTTCGCCGAAAAGGAGATTCGACGCGCCGTTTTGGACGGTAAAAAACAATATGCCACGTGGAAAACTCTTCCGCCGAATGCATGGACATTTTTGAGACGAAGTTTCCTTAGCGTCGCCGTCGTGATTGCCGATGAATTTGTACACAGTGAATTTGCGAAAGCCACCGCGTCCTCTACACTGATGATAAAAGGACAAGGTTAAAAATCTTCCATTACTTACGTCCACACTCATCGGTGTTGCATTCTTTGGTCTCTTGTCGGTCTCCTTCACATTCTTTCCCTTTAGCTTCAGGCTTGGGATTGTTACATTTTCGTTCTCTGATCTGTTCTCCTCCTCCACAAGTAACCGAGCACTTACTCCACGCGCCAAATTCTCCCCATCCGCCGTCCACTGAGGAAAATGAGAATCGCAACATATTACGTATAAGAACTGATGGAGCGAAAATAATTGACGGTTAATACCATGAAGGGACCAGGCTAGAGAACTGAATACATCATACATATATAAGCTGTTAGGACCGTCACGATTGCTCCTTACCAATGATCTCAGGATCTTTTAGACTTAATCTGTCGAGTCTTTAGTTTAACATCGTACTATGTTGTTGATTTCCAGCTGGTGGAAAATGAATAATTGTTGATTTTAGAATGCAAAAGATGTTTGCCCTTCGTCGGGGCTAACGCTCGAAACGTCAGCTTTGAATCTCTTTGCATCAATTTATTGAATCGATTATTCTAGAAAAATTTCTGTGTAATGGCAGCATGATTTGAGTTTGCCCAAATTAGGAGGGACGTGATATTTGCTGAAATTATAATTAATATCAAAATACAGTTAACAATAATGGAAATGATAATGATGGTTCCATAAACGGATGTGAAAAAAATCTACAATTAGCATTTTTTGGCCGCACGCGAATAATTGTCATAAAAATTTATCTACTCTTAGACTCTTAACTCAGTGTTCCCCCACTCCCCTCCCCCCAGTAGACTTGCAAAATAAGTTTAAACATTTCCCTGTCTTACTTGGCCAATTTACTTTATCAACTCAGTTGATTATACTAAATTACTCTACAAGTACTCTGTTGCACTCTCCCACCGACGCAGTACCACAGTTTCTTTAGAAACTTACCCGCTTCATTCGTTTGTCCCTGAAAGATAGATAGCCTGCCTTCGTTTTATAAACTCTTTAAAGATAATTCTTTATGTATGCATACCTGGACATTTCTTTAATAGTGGTACGCACGGCTTTGTCTCGCTATCTGGTCCAAGACCTGAACAGTCCTTTCCGCCATTTTCTGGTGCTGGGTTATCGCACAACTTGACGCGTCTCCTTATCCCTCCGCTCTCTTTTCCACAAGTTATGGAGCATTCGCCCCAAGACCCCCATGGTCCATAACCTCCATTCACTGGAAATATTCAATGCAATGATTAAGAAACATCATAATTTTTTTCTGTAGATCATTGCTAAACTCTTTTCATCACGTTGCAATTTGATTACGGTTTTCAACACCCTGTGAGCCAAAGGCTCTCTCGGCGTTAAGGCTCTAAGAAATCCAAGATTATCGTGTATATAGCTTAGGAGTATTCCTTGGTCCACAGCGTTTACATGAGCCAATTAACAACACGCTAGTAATGTAAAGTACTTATAAGTGCATGTAGGAAACGAATCCTTTCTTTCAGTCACAATCATGGGAGTGCATTTGACTGCATGGAACGAAAATTTAAGTTGAAGATTAAAAATAATATATAGCCATTTGAATTAAAGTAAACTAAGTCAACCTGCACATCCATCCTTATTACAATCCTCTTCCTGTGTCTTCGGTCCCAGATCTGAACAATCTTTCCCACCGTATTGTGGTGTTGGATTTGTGCATTCCCGGCTACGACTGCGTGTTCCTCCTCCACATTTGGCAGAACACTCACTCCACTTACTCCAAGTCGTGTAACCTCCGTTGACTTAAAGAAACAACGAAATAATATGGATTAAGTGACTTACAGTGCTTATATATGTACATATGATTGGTGTATAAATGATAAATATTTTGAAAAAGGTTAAAAATTAGACGATTTTTCATTCTTTGGTGTGTATGAGCATTTATTTTGTTGAATAATGTTTTAATATAGAATTCAATCAGTAGGAACAGAAGTATTTCACCTCTATACACTTCTGACACAAATGAAAACCCTTCTCAGTCCTTAAAACGTTTTTAAATATTTTTTAGAAGCTTTTAAAACTCTTTTCGATAAGGCTAACATCAAATATAATTTAATCTTTCATAATTCTGTTCATCAAATAATGCTTTTTAAATATTACCGTTGGTTATTATGTTTCAATTTAACAAAAACTCACCAGGGCAGTCCTGATTATTACATTCTCTACTTGTTTTACTCGGTCCAAGTCCGTCACAATCCTTTCCTCCTGCACTTGGCGGTGGATTGGTGCACGTTCGCTCACGATATTGCTTTCCACCTCCACACGTTTTTGTACATTCACCATATGGTTCCCATGCAGAATAACCGCCATTCGCTACAAAACAATTACAGCTAAAATAGTGCACTTTAACCTGTCATTGAAAATTGCAAGTTGGCATGTAGTACGTCCATGCAGAAGCCACTTCTCGGAAGGTTCCAGATTCAATATTTTACACAGAGCTATTCCGGAGAAAAAAATAAAGTAATGTAACGGATCTCTCTACTGATTATAACGAAAGCAAAACAAACACGTAAAAACCCGTATTAAATGGTTGATCAGGCAATATTTAATACATTGTAATAAAATGAGAAAATTACGCGCGTCTGACTGGGTGAAATGTGTGCATTGTTTATGCAATACGAGTGCAAATTACAAATAGCGCGCGCGTTACGAAAATCTCGTTCATCTTGACTTTCTGTGATGCCTTTTTCATGTAAATTATTAACAATAACCAACAAGATTTCTCGTAAAATTTGGTGCAAATAAACCTTTTTTTAAAGACTACAAATTGTACTTGCCCAACGGGCTCGCGTAGTTTTGTTCTCTTTGTAAAATTAACTCTTGCTTATTAACACCAAATTTGCCCCCAAAATCCTGTTTTTATCAATAATAATATTATAAAAGTAGTAATAATAATAATGATATATCAAGTATAAGAGAGAAGCACCAACTAGGGCATTCTTCCTCATTGCAAGCCTGTGTTTCCAATGAGAGTCCGGCGCAATTCTTTCCTTGATACTGTGGAACAGGGTTATCACATTTCCTGCTGCGCTCTCTGCTGCCTCCACCACAGGTGGCAGAACAATCGCTCCATTCGAGCCAATTACTAAAACCACCATCAACTGGGAATAAAATAAGAGGCAGTGTAATGTTATTGTATCACACACAATTCGAATGCAACATATAAATTTCTAATGCCGAAAGAAGCCTTGATTCGGAAGAAAAGAAATTTGGACAACCTGTAAGTGCTAGTCATAGATAAAAATAGATGTCCTAAAAATTATTGGCATTCTTAAGTTAAAACTGTGGCCAGTTCGTCTCCATCCGTAGCTCTTGAAAGTAAAAGTGCTCACTTGGACAGTTTTGAGTGTTGCATTCTCTGGTTGAAAAGTCGGGTCCTAGACCGGCGCAATTTCTGCCACCGTGTGCTGGTGGTGGGTTGGTACAAGTACGCCTTCGAGTTTGTTCTCCTCCGCCACATTGTTTACTGCATTCACCGTACGGTCCCCAAGCGGAGTATCCGCCATCTACAGGTTCTTCGCAAAAGAAAAAATACACAGTTAGTTCGCAGTCACCTCAGACTAAGCTTTGATTTGTATTTCGCTAAAAGTGTATACTTGCTATATCTTACTTGAAACACAGCCATACAATTCCACTCTCATTGAAGCAACCTGAAACCATTCTTGTGGAAGGATTCGGACATACTGTGCCTTGATTGACTGGATTAAATCGTTGATGACGAGGGTATTCTGATCTTTATTCCCAATGTATTCCTGAAATCGCAGTTTAACTCAAGGTAGTTATGACAGTTTGGTATAGGGCTGTTGTGAATTAAGCAAATCTAAAGAGGGAATCCTACCGATTTGTCGGCCAGGTTAATGAAACACTTTCATGTAGTCATTAAAGCTCTTTACAACTTGTCGAGATACTCGCGTTAATTCAACAATAACTCTTTGTATAATGTCGCCTAAATTATTAGTAATTGGATCTTGGAAGGGATTGACGTTTCACCTGATTCTGAGATGTGAAGTGATGACCGTCCGTGCTGTAAGACACCTTGTATTTGGTGACCCACTGAGCGGCTTCTTGACGACCTTGGCTCCCTACTTTGGTCACCTCCACAATTTTACCAAGATTGATTTGAATCCATGGTTCTTTGTCGCTTCTCCGCGCTGACCACGCCCCTTTTCTTGAACCTCCAGCCATGTGGTAGATTCTCGCATTGTTCGCTCCATGGTTGATGTCCCACTTGTGAAAAGATACATTTGAATTAGACAGGAATTAACAAATTCATGTTTATCTTCAATTTCTTTTTAAACCAAATTTTAGCTTGACAAAGCCACGATAGCTAACTGTGGACTGGATAGCGTGTAGAAAAGTAAAAGAAAAAAAAAAAAGGGATAGGGCGGACACTAGATAACCTGTGTATCATCACTCAATGAAATCTTCCTAATATTTCATTCATTTAATGAAGAAACAAGACGAGAGGAACAAACATGGCTGAGGGGAAACATTTATTTTCAACGAGGCAAAACGTAGATACGTAACAGGCAGGCTGAGGCTTAGGTTAAGCCTGTAGCTTTGGACTGATCTACCTCTGATGATGCTGTTATAGCTGAGTCTAGTATGCTTTTGTCCTCCATTCCCAGTGGTGAAGAACATCCTACCGAGATATAAATATCATGTTTCCTTCACCTCAATTCGTGGAATCGGTTAAATGCGAACAGCTTAGTAATCGTTAACAGCATTCTCATGAGTCTGACTAAATTTGACGTCTTTTGAGACCCAAACTTTCAGTATTTGTTGCTAACGAAGCCATCTCAGTGGTTTCTATTCAGAGTCGTAAAGGCTTTTTCAACTTGAATGATCATAGAAAAGATAGAGCCTGACACATACAGCATACCTGAGGAGATTTCACAACCATACAGCTCCATTCTCATGGAAATATGCCCACTCCAACTCTCAGGATAGAGGCGAACGAAACGTGCTTTGATTGGTTGAATCAACTTATTGACGATAACGCTGTTCCTGTCTGCATTGCCATCATAAACCTGAATCGTAAGGCAATTTTTATTAGAGTAATTCCTAAAGCGTTTAATTTTTTTTTTCAGTGAAACTAAAGCACTGCAAATGCTCTATCTTTGACCTCAATGAATTATAAAATGGGCACTTGAGACGCCACAGAACTCGGGCCGAGAGCAGTTCTATTCGTCCCTTTGGTAATACAAAATTTTACACGTATAAAGTCCTTTAAAGAGATAAAATCAACACAAGATATTTAAATCCCAATATGGGCCAAACTCCTTGGTTAATCCGTCTGTGTCAGAGCACCCAGAAGGTCATGAATTTTGTCATCTTGGACGTTCCATGAAGTTTTTTCTTCATTTTAGCTACTACAAAATGGCATACTCATATCATTTAACTAGGATAACAGATACCCTCATACAAAAAGGTCTGAGAAAGAATTATACTTAAAGAAACAGATCCGTTCCAGGCCTTTACCGAGATCAAAATGATTGAGAACTCTTGCGGTCGTGTATTTGATTATGTCAGTATTCACCTTGTCTTGAAATTCAAAATGACTTCCATACTTGCTGTAAGCCACTTTAAAGCTCTTTACCCACTGATCATAGTCGTACCGTCCCTGAGTTGCCACCATAGTGACAGTGGTCGTCTCGCCTAGATCTGCTTCTAACCACTGCCTTTTATTGCTAACTTGGGCAGACCAGCCCCCATTCCTCCTATCAGTTGATACATAGTAGAGTCTTCCAGTACTGGCCCCACGGTTTCCATTCCACTGACAATATAAAAGGGAATAAGCGTAAGAGCCTCTCATATGCATCACACTTCCTACATATTTCTCATCTATGCATGACAAAGACGAGAAAATTACCAATGTAGCGTGGCATGGGACACCGGTCGCAACTAGTCAATCACAACTCTTTCTCTCTTTCTCTATCTAAACTCACTCTAACAGCTATAAACTTCTAAATATGAATTACAGACTGAGTGAATTACAGCTACTGTGATAAAGTATGAAAAGACAGAGGAGCCCTTTCTGGGCCCCTATCTGTTCCCATCACGTTGTGGGTAACAGATACGCGACGGAGAATTTTCCTGCTATTGAAGTTATCATTTGAAAATCATAAATCATTATGCAAAATTATAGAAAAGACATGCTCAACTTATGTTCCCAAGGTTAATGATGTACGGAAAAAAGGAACTCTCTGTCAAATTCCTTTTGGATATATCAGAGAGAAGTATAACTTAAAATTGGCGCGTTGATTATGAGGATTTTTTGCAAGGGAGTGGAATAGTGAAGGCTATACTTACCTCGGAAGAGGCTGTTATTGCCGAGTTGGGTAATTTCTTACTGGTCAGTCCGAGTGGCGTCACACATTCTGCAGACATGAAGATCAATACGTCATGTTTTCAACACTAGTTGTTTGATAAACAAATCAAAGGGGGATTTCGTAAATGTGTGATGACTGAAAAAATGAAATTTCACCTTCAGAGACGTCGCATCCATATACTTCAAACCTCATCGAACAGTGGTTACTCCATCCCTCAGGTTTTATCCTAACGAAACGAGCCTCGATGGGTTTCACGAGAGAATTGACAACGACGCTGTTCTGGTCACTGTTAGCTTGGTAAACCTATAAGGATCCAAATCAATTGTACCGGCGGACTTGCAAAAATTCTGATGTGGGAAAGGCAAAACCTCGCCCATCGACAGGAAGATGTTACTGTAACTTAGTGATGAGAGTCATTTCAGGTTATAATGTTCATATGGTGTTCTAAATTATCAAAAAATGATCACGTTAAGTTTGTTGGGCATACTTTTTGGGTATGAATTTCAATGAAAACAACAACAAATTGCAAATCTGTGATCTACGATAAATTGGTGTTTCAAAATAACGGACCCATTTTGAACAACTTTAAAGAAAGGAGTCTTTCGGAAATAATGGTGTATGTTTTTCTCTCCCATCGCAGATATTTTTATAAACGTTGATCGATGTCCAAAAGATTGACGGCATTTTAATATCTTGAAATAAAACAAAACAAAAAAAAAAATGGGTTGTATTCGAGTTTTCTTCTGCATTAAGGGGTGGTAAGAATTAAAACTAAGAGATCATCAAGCGTAGAATAATACATCACAAGGAACTAAAGTAGCATGTATTTTTAAAACCCTATCAAAATGCAAAATATATGTATGTTATCTAAGCGTAGCTTACACGATCTTGAAGCGTAAACGTTTTTCCAAATGTACTGTACGAGACCCTGTATTTGGTCACCCACTGGGCGTAGTCTGAGCGGCCTTGACTGGCAATTTTCGTCACTCTCTTGATCTTCCCAAAGTCCACCTGAACCCATGGTGATTTGTCGTCTGATCTTGCAGACCATGCACCAGTCGTTCCGTGACCCGCTTTAGTAAGGTGCAGCCTGGCATTTGAGGCTCCATACGCTGAACCATACTAAAGAAAATTAGTCAAGATAAGTTAAGCACTCGAAAGTGCGCGATAAATGTTACCCAACCAGTAGTACCGCCAGTCTTTCCATTAGCAGCCATATTTTTTGCATCCCACAATGAATTATTTCATACATGAAATGCAATTGGTGATAAATAGGCTACAGTCAGGCTATAGTGTTGACGACAACGGCTCTTTCAACAAACCGTTCATAAAATGTTGAGGCAAACGTGTATCTATTGCCACTAGCATGATTCTAAGAAAAAGCTAAATGATCTCGCTTTCAGCACTCGTTAAGCACAGCCATAAGGTACGTCCTATACTTGAAATTATGATTTCTTCCCAGCACTGCAATATAAATATCGTTTGCAAAAGGAAATGGAGAGTCCTCTATCTGTAAAAGCAATTTTTTCTCCGTAGCTCTTACCTCAGTTGAAGCTGTTATGGCATAGTCAGGGATGACCTTTTTTTCCATACCCAAAGGTGTTGCGCACTCTGAAGGAAAAGTTATCATTTTCTCTTTTTCAAAACTTTTGGTCCAAGATATGTATAAGAGCACCGTAAAATCCAAACCATGTGCCCCCTTCTCACCCTCTATGATAATCTTCGGGTAAATAATTTTCAACTTATTTCATAACATGAGCACCAAGTGAGCTTTCGTGATACATAATACCAAACTTCGTTAACCCCTTAAATCTCAAGATCTGATTGTCGATCCTCCCCTCTAGCTGCTACAAAATTTCTTGTAAATAAGTGATGAGAATTTGGTGTTAGATCAGGAGAACAACTGTAACCTGATAAATAAGTTTGAGTATTCTCATAACCTGTTTACTGGATGTGGTATAGATATCATAGGGAGAGATTACATGTGAATCACTTCTGGGATTTAAAGGGTTAAAAACGACTCTCCCTGCCGATAATTATAGGCCTCCTTGACCTCTGATCAAATTTCATAACGGTAAGAAAAAGTAAGAAGTCACACTCTCCCTGTCCGTATCTGTGCCCTGAAAGCCAAACCCAATGAAGACGCTACGAAGATTACAGAGAAAATTAAGAGCGGGAATAAATATTATGATAATCACCTGATGGTAAACCTGGTTTTAAACTACAGCCATAGAGCTCCATTCTCAAGGAGATGTGTACATGCCAGGCGTATGGGTAAAGACGGACGAAGCGAGCCTCGATCGGTGTTATGAAAGTGTTTACCACAACACCGTTTTGGTCGTTGTTGCCGTAGTATATCTAAAGGGAGACCAAAATATACTGAAGTATGATGATAAGGGATTTCCTTAGCATGGATAATGGGCAGTCAAGTAGTTTTTTATCAACTGAATATTTGATTGTATTACTTTTTGTCTTATTGTCTAAGTATAAATGATTCATACAAGTGAAAGTTAGGTCATAACTATTTGAATAGTTGTAGTATTTAGTGCACTTCAAACGGAAGAATAGACGTGTGTATGTACAGTAATCAATTTGTTTCGACGATGACTGTATCGTTTTTGGCAGGTGCGTTTGCGCGCCATATCGACAGCATCGTTTATGATAGCTGCGTAGTTGTACTAATTGCTCAAGCAAAATTAATTTGAACAAATACGTTTTATCCTATTCCATCTGCACAGTTATATACCATGGTCAATCAGGTATACGCTTATTTAAGCAATAGACTATAATTTCTTTCGGTAAACGATAAAAAGTGTAATCTATTGCTTTAGTAAATTATCAAGGGGTTACCTATGTAATAAACGATAGGCTTTGGACCAATAAGGGCGCTCGTATTATTTCGTTAATTTCTAAAAAGCGTTAAGGCAAGTAATTGATTCGTTAAAGCCATCTATTTAGCAGTCACACTCTGCCTTATCCACAGAGCAAGTCCTTATCATTTCTTTTCTTATCTCATTCAAATACCTTTTCTAGAAATTGAAAGTCTTTTTCATCCGTACTGTAAGATATTTTAAATGCAGTAACCCACTGGAGTCGGTCTTGTCTTCCTTGAATTGCCACCTTAGTCACACGAGTCAGTTGACGAAGGTCCACCTGAATCCACTGTCCCTTTTCGTTTTTTCTGGCAGACCAGGCTCCAGTCTTACCTCCACCAGCTGGACGATTGAGCCTTGCATTGCTGGGCCCATGGTTTGCAGCCCACTGCAGACAAATATGACATTTAAATTATTGTTAGTTATATAGTCAAACAGCGTTTAGATACATGACAAGCCTGATTTTTCGTTGTAAATCATTAAATTATTAATTAACAGTGTTGCAAACTGATAAAATATGTCAATTGGTTAGTTCTGAATAGTTATGTTTTTTCATAAAAAAGGAAAAAATGTTTTAAGCATTTTGCCGTGAAAATTTGGTAACATTTTGAATTAAAAAATGAGGAGTGGAAGCACAGACCTTGTTTGGAAATAATGTGTAGGAGTCAAGTAATGAAATTTCTCGTGGCTAAACGCCTGTGGTTGGACCAGTAAATATCCTTTTCCGTGTGTCTCTAAGCTGAAGGAAAAATACCCTCTCCGAAAAATTGAATGCTTCAAGTTTGGTTAAGTTCCTTACCTCTGAGGAGGCGGTAATGTCTGAGTCGGGTATATCCCCACTTTGAAGACCAAGTGGTGATTCACATTCTGCAATTTGAAAAAAATTTTTGATAGGATTGCAGTCAAATGATTGGCGCCTTAATTTGTCAAACTACATCAAATTTACAAGGCATGATCGCAATGAGTATATTCTGATAAATGTTTGTTCCATTGTTTTTCTTTAAGTTGAATTAAAAGGATCGAGTCCTCTTCCATTATTTTGCGTTTTAAGTGTTCTCAAGTACCCTCCGTTTTTTTCAAAAAGCAGTCCACACTCTAGCAATAAAAATTATCCTGGTATTTTCTTTGACTTTAAACGGTTGTTAAATATTGTATGACATACCTCCATGCGTATATCCTGTGATAAATATAATAAAAGAAGAAAGTTAACTCATTATGTGATACGACGGTTTACCATTGTAATTTATCTCTGAACTATTTTAGGGCTTGATTTAAGTAATTTTTAAATTTCTCTAACTGATCGTGATCGTGAGCGGAAAAAAGAACAAATTCCATTCCTATTTACGAGTTATATAGGCATGTAGTGTGAATACAAGTGGTCCGATTAATATTCTCTCTTATTGGAACCGATTGATGGGAGTTCTATTTAGCACTTAACTCAGAAAAATTTACTACTGAAAGGACATATTTTGATTTAGTTTCCACCTTGAAGTAAGATCAGTGTGTTGGTTTTGTCTTACTTCGTGAGTTGATTGTTCAAGAAAACTTGCACCACTTTCTAAACCAATTAGTTCTAAAAGTGAAATCAATTGAGTTAGCTGCGATATTTTCTGGCTAATCAATGTGAATTTTGAGTACTGTTTTACAGATCATGAGTAATTTGCAAAGCTGGCTCCATGTACCTCTCACCAGAAGTTTCTCTTAAAACATTCTTTTAGCAGATCACTTGGTTCCTAGCAACGCTCAAACTACCTGCATCTTGCTAGGTTTAACATCCTCTAAAATAGCTTCTTATTACGAGAACCCTCCAGCGCTTTATTCAACAGTGACCTACGGCAACAGGTGATGATACGTTAAGGCATTTACCTGATGAATATCAACATGATCTTTACACCTTTAAGTAAAATCAAACCCTCCCATTTCCCATTTTTAACTTGTCATTGTTCTGTTTATTCCAACAATAAAGTAATGTTACTGTGACATTTCTAAAAAGAGGATTCAGACAACTCAAAGTACCGTTACTAAAATAGGATTTCCAAAGTCAGCGCTGGACTAAGCAAGGCTGGTCTGTTTCCGAGTTGACTTGATAAATAATCCCTATTGGTTTCAATGGGCCACATATATCTTGCTTAGTTCATTTTTTATTAGTGGGAGTGTAAGTGTGACAAAACTGATAGAATCAAAATGAAACCGTAACTAATGAAGATGATTCGTCTGAGTAACGGAACCAGCCGATAACGTAATTTAAAGTTAAGAAAATGAGTCAGAATGACACTCCCGAAAGATGATGTTTTCCGTGAAAACCAAGAATACTCATGCACCACACTGACTTTAGACAGCTCGAGAGAGAGGGGGACCAGAATTTAACGAGAAACGAATACGAACGAGGCATTTTTATGGTGACGACCACGAAGGCGTAAGTCGTTTGATACACCTCAAGTTAATATCAAACGGAAATTTGATGATATTTTGTTATGGGCTAAACAGCACTTAGCACATAGAATTATATGACCGGCACTCAGCAATCAGATTCTGACCCCTTTGACCGTCAAAATGGTATGATTGTTTTTTGACAACCCTTTGGCCTCTCCTTTGCTGGTGAAGAGAGAAAAAAACCCTAATACACTTTCGTTGTTGTTGGATTGACTCAATCTGGTACTTACCAAATAGAAGAATAGCCTCTAAAAGAGCGATGAGGTTGGCGCTCAAGGCCATTGTGACAACTCTGAAGAAAGACCCGAAGATAATGTGAGGTGTGAGGCTGTAGTTCATGTTATAACACAAACTTTTTAAACCCTGCATTACTAATTAAATAGTAATTAAAAATGTTTTAATTTGTTATATAAACCACGAGAATGCTGCGGCAAAAATCGTTTCATTTATCACTTTAGAAAGAGGTCCAGGACTTTTCTTGTCAAAATGGAGAGACAAAATGTTGACTGGCATGTTGTTTCTTGTCACGAAAAAACGTTTTTTTCCGATGAAAAATATATTCAGAAATTTAATTTAAAAAAAAACTTGCTTGGTGATTTGCTAGGTCGTTAAATATCCTTTGTTTGATTTAAGAACAAACAATACTCACAGTTTAAATGATAATGAATCGTCAGCCTTTTCACGCGTTGCTTATTTGTAAGTTATATTGTAGGATTAAAAAACAAATGGAAATATTTGCCACAGTGTCAAACTTAAATTTCATTAGGATGGTCTGTAATTGCACTTTCCTTTGTGATAAACCGCCGACTACACTGCACAATTTGCTTTAACTTTGACTCATTAGCAAACCACGCCAATTTTAAAACCCCAAAAGAATGTATCTGTCAACATTCTCTTGAGTATTGGCGTTAAAAAAAAAGTACCAATCAGGTATCCTCATGCCCAGAGTTAGTAATATAGCAAGCTTCTTCAAAACTCTGCACGTGAGTTCTCCTTTATAGATATGTTTCAAAATAAATCTTATTTGATCTGGTAATTTAATTTTTTTTATTGCAGTTTTTCTCCGTGGGTTCCCGATCAAAACATCCCTATAACACGTTGAGAACACCATGGTAATTAGAGGTGATAAGCAAACTTCTTTACTCCCTGGATGGATAAGGTTGAACAAATTTCAAGGCTACAGGAAGGGGTCACTTTTGTGTGATAAATTTTTTTCAGGTTTTTTTTTTGCTAGAAAAAGGAAGGGCCAGTATGTGCCCCCTTAAAGACCCCCCATAGAAAATAAATTAAATGGGTCATAGACCCTATTGGTGATTTGGGCAAATTGGATATGGAAATATTCGAGGAGAAGCCTTTCAAAATGTTTACCAAGTACTCTGATCATATGCGGGAAAAGCGAGATTAGTTTAAAAATCTGTCATTGCTTTCTTCAGATGCCTAAATTTAAATATTCAAAGAAAAAAAGTGGCCTTGATCGAATTAAAACTCCACTGAAATTACTTGGTTATTGTACCGGATACAGAGTATAATTACGAAGTTTAATATTTCATTTTAGTATCCACTAAAACAGTAAATAACGTTGAAGGCGCGCTTTGATTGGCTACCCAATCACCGATAATCCTTCAATATTCACCTCCGAGCAAAACGCGCGGTATTTGCGCCTGAGAATATTGTAATCGTTGCAGGAATAAATGAGTCGAAATAATATTTTTTGCTTTCTTACTTCACTGATTTACTATCTATCAAAACAGCTGTTCACCTCAGTGTCAGTGATTAGCGGTGGATATAGAGCACGCCGCCTCGTGGCCGGTTGTTAATTATCCACCACTGGGCACTTGTACCTCCACTTCGTTAAATATTTGTTAGTAATTATTTCTTAGAATTCAAAGAAAAAGAAGAAAGAATCCTAGTTTATAATGCGTATTTAAAGATAATATCTCGTAAAAGTTCTGTAAAAACAGAGGGAATAGAGTAAAACTACAATTGAGTAGCACAGTTTAGCCGTGAATTCACAGTTTGTGAATTAACGACAAAAGAGATTTTGCCTTTAGGTTTCATTTAGGGGTTCTAGAGGGTCTTTTCAGGTATCTTAACCTGGGATGGGCTTGAAAACTTGACTGTTTATGTACGGCATTTATAACGTAAACTTTAGAACATGCCGACCGCCTTATCGAAGGCTAACTCCTGTGTAGAGGAGGGAGGGGGCGGGGGTAGATGAAGGGAGGTGGAGGGGGGAGAAGTCATCAGTAACATGTTAATTTCGTTGCCTGTTTAAAAAGTTGAATGATGACGAATGATGACGAATGATGGGCACTCTAATGAGAAGTTTTGTTCGTTCCACTCTAGTTTGTGGATATTTTTTTTGCTGTGACAAATCGAGTTTCGGATGATAACGGTATGATAATGGCATGGAAAGAAAAATAATGCAATCAATAATTTTTCATTGCTTTTTTATTAACCCATTAAGCGCGCTTAACATTTTCCCCAATATCCTTACAATTTATAAAACCAGAGAGTAGCTAGACTACTGTTTTGTGTTATTATATTTCCCTTCTGTTTCCGCGTACGTTCCAGTTCTGTGGTTAATCCACTTTTGAGTTGCATAACTCTGGCCCTTGATCTGTGAAAGATAATGTATATGCGACTTGAGTTTCGCATTTTGAAAAGTTGTAAACTGTCTACATTGTACTTGAAGTCTTGAACAAACGTGAATAGCTACTTTTGGTCATGCAGGGTAATTTCGTTTATAAACTGAGTTGACGACGTAAATTGTCCACCGTAAGGAGTTTTTAAGCTGACGTTTCGAGCGTTAGCCCTTCGTCAGAAATTGATGACGAAGGGCTAACACTCCCTCACCGACGCGGCACCACAGTCTCTTTAGAAACTTACCCCCTTTATTATAATTTTGCTCTTGATTTGGTTAACTGGCTGATGGCTTGTATTACCCACTAACTCAATTTCTCTAACTACTAAGGTGTCGTTTTCTTTTATTTTGGTTTTAGCTTCAAATGAAAATGGATTGCGAGACTTGAATTCGGCTAAGGGTCCGAAATGTCGAGGTTTTCTACTCGATACCCAAGAGGTGAACTCAGCAGAATATCGTTCGTGTTCCCCGAAAAAAGTTTACAAGCTCAACTTGACTATCATGGGGTGATCATACGCAGGTAATAAACAAGTTAAATCCGCCAGCTGCATAGCTGAGGTGGAAAAGTTTTAGCAATTTGAAAACAAACTCCGAACTTACCTGAACCACTATTCATACTTATAGACAAACATGTCACCATTAATTTCCTTGCCGGACCCGTTGCCACTTTTGCTGACAGAGCATGTTGAGGATTTCCCGTACCTATCGTACTTGTTCTCCCCATCGTTATCTGCCCAGCAGATCTTGTCATCAACTCCGAATAGCTTGTGGCCTAAAGACCCAGCCTTCTCCTTGCAGTACAAGAAGATATTGTCATTACCTTGTATTTTATCGACACCGTCGTCCAAAGAGTCTGGTAAAGCCAATTTCGATGCCTTGTTGACGTAGCATCCTTTTTGTGCCCAGTCCCCTTTGTGAAAAATAGTAAGGAGAATTAGAAATCAGACCTCTCTAAACGCCCTTTGTGTACCTCCATGATTTCAAGAAAAATATGCGTTATATTCAGTCTCTTTCCAAATCTAAGATGAAGAAATAGGTGCATATGTAACGAACGGTCTTAAAATCGAACGCTATTCCAGGTTGTGCACACGCACGTAATGTGTGATATTCTTCTAACAATAGCATAAACAACAATTTTCTCAGCAGTTGTTTCGTAGCTCCGCCTTGACAAGTTAATGAGCTCAAGCAATATTCCCTGAGGAGGAATGAGCGCGTAATCTTTGACCAATCAAAGCTCTCCAGAATATCTTTCGCCGCTAATATTACGGATCTATAATTTTTTCGCTACTGCAAGTAAATGTCCCGAGAACAATAGGCATTCTACGCGATGGGTCTATGTCTAACAGTTACACTAGTGGTTATCAATAATTGCGATCTCTTACCCTTTTCCTTTTTTTTTTTGGCAATTCTAGTGGTTACACGACTGGCTTTTAGCTTTAAGTTTACAACTGATAAATTGTTAAGTCACGCGTATTTTGTATTTTGTATTTTGTATTTTGTATCTCATTCTCTAATTTAGATTTTATTGTCGTTATCATTATTACTGTTAGCACTATTTAATTTTGCATCGATAATTATTGATGATTATGGTATCGATAATTATTCCTCGTTTTGATTTTATCATCATACTCGTTACGAAAATGATGAACATGCACTTATGGAGATCACTTTTTACTTACTGCAATTACATGAACAACGTAAACAAAGGATATAAAGGCTCCAGTAAATAGATAAAATACTTAATCAATCATACAGATTTCCCAATACGCATAAGGAATAGGTTATAAATAAGACTTCGGTCGTTGTCTGTTTTAAACACAATGAAGCATTTTTGTTATAATTATGATCATTTTTATTGTTTTATTGCTCTCATTAGTACATCATTACCTAGTTTCCTTTTCACCAGAAAACAGATTGGAGTAAAAAAAAAAGTTTTCTTACCATCTGCGTCTTTCTCGTAGACAAACATTGTTTCCGACTCTGACAGACCACTACCCAATCCATTCTTTGTCTTGCACTGCCCTGAGGTTCCATATTTGCTGAATGTGCTTTCTGCATTTTCACCAGTCCAGCATCTCCTGTCGTCCATACCAAACAAGGCCACATCTTCACTGTTAGCCGCTGACGTGCACGCGGCATAGCGGGCGCTTATTGATTTCTTGCTTCCCACTCTCTCAAGAACCACGTGGAGAGCGCGATCACTATTCTTAAAGCAACCCACTGGCTTCCATTCAGCTTTTGAGAAAACGAAGAAAAAATATTGTGAGTATTTTTCCAGTGAGCGGGAAACTTGCGCATTGCAGGAGACCCCTTCCACACCCTCTCCGGTCATTTGTCCAACTACTCCCTATTAGTGAAACCGTTTAGAGGCTTGGAAAATTAATCTTGGATCAAATTATACAGCTTTAAAAAAAAATCATAAATCTCGTAAAAGAAAGTTGCAGTTGTTCAACATTGTTAATGATGCATAAAAATTACGAAATACGGTGACAAATCGAAGGCTTGACCTCGGAGTCCACTATCGGGAGTTCAGCGTGACAAATATAGTTTCCATCTGTAGTACACATTTTACGGCATGTAAAGAAAGGAGAATGCAAACGTCCTTTACTTACGTCCACACACTTGAGGGTTACACGATTTCGTCTCTGCCTCGTCTCCTTCACAATCCTTACCACCAGCTGCAGGCTTAGGATTGTTACACTTTCTTTCTCTGATCAGTTCTCCTCCTCCACATGTAACTGAACACTTACTCCAATCGCTCCAGTCTCCCCATCCGCCGTCCACTGGGAGTAAAAATGATGCGCTTAATGACATGCTCGTAATCAAAAGAAGAATCATAAACTTTGCATAACAGGAGACGATCAAGCTGAGGGTCTCAATATGTTTTATGAGGCCTCTTCAAAGATAATCCGACTTGAGTAATTTCTGAATTCTTGCATCTAGTCGTCTGGGAATAATCTTGTGCGCCTAGTGAGTGGCTTAAAAATCTCGAGGTAGAGGAGTGGAAACCACTCAGTGTTTCCACACGAGCAGAGGTTGGATCACGGTATTGATAAATAAAACATCCTCCAGGGATTATGGGAAAACGATAGTAATACAGTAATTGAAATCGGTGAGCAAGCTCAACTGAACTTGATTTTGTCGTGGTTATTATTATCGGTAAACTTACCGGGACATTTCTTTATTGGTGGTGTGCACGACTTTGTCTCGCTATCCTTTCCAAGACCTGAACAGTCCTTCCCACCATCCTTTGGTTCTGGGTTATTACACAAGCGATCACGTGTATGTTTGCCCTTTTGCTTGCCACAAGTAATAGAGCAGTCGCCCCAGGAACCCCAAGGTCCATAACCTCCATCAACTAAAAATATTGATTTGACTCAGATCAAAAATTTGGTCTTAAAAATTAGGATTCTTTCACCTCAAAATTACTGGCAGTGGTTTATCTGACTATTGATCTTATGAACTTAGCATACGGATAAAAATTAGTAAAGAAGGTCAGAAGCAGAAGAAAATGTCGTAAATGAAGAGGAGTTAGTGGGGCTCAACGGCAAGAAGTTTAAGCCAAATTAATTAATGGCGAGAGATGTTAAAAAATCTCAACATGAAATGATCTGATGTGAGCAGTGTGAGCAGCTGCGCACCAACCCCTCCCCTAATGTGAAAGTACGCTGGGTAAGGGGTAGCTGCGCGGTTGCTGAGATACTGACATTGATCCAAATTATACACAGAATATGTGAACCTGGACATCCAGCTGTATTACAAACTCCTGTCTGACGGATGGGCCCCAGTTCCGAACAATCTTTTCCACCATGTTGCGGTTTGGGATTGGTGCACTGCCGATCACGTTGGCGTGTTCCTCCTCCACAGCTAACAGAACATTTGCTCCATCCGTTCCAGTTAGTGTAACCTCCGTCAACTACGTAAACGTGACAATAATGGATTCGTACATAATAAAGACCGTTTTACGTTCGGTATGCAAAGGTAACAATTAAGGAACTAGAGTTGAAGTTGGGGATTGTTATGTTATTCAATGTCGTCCAAACAGTTACACGTAAAACATCCTTTTCCTAAATCTTTTGAATGCAGATCACTTGCGAAGATCATATCTTCCGTTGCGTTTCTTTCCGCAGGTCGAAATGGTACTTTCTCTCTTTTGATTCAGACCTAAGCGTTGTAGTTGGCAGCTGATGCCTTTTTTAATTTCCTCTGCGCACTGGGAAAATTAAGCTTTCCGTATGGTACACTTCAGTCTTTAAATAAACACATACTCACTGGGGCAATTTTGATTGCTGCATTCTCTGCTTGATTTACTTGGTCCAAGTCCCGAGCAATCCTTTCCTCCGGCACTTGGAGGTGGATTTGTGCAAGTTCGCTCTCGATATTGCTTTCCACCTCCACACGTTTTAGTGCATTTGCCATATGGCCCCCAAGCAGAGTACCCACCATTCCCTACAAATAGATGAGGTTTTATGAGTTTCTTTATCATGACATCAACAATTGAAAGTTATTTATTTACTTCTTTGATACACAGCGGGTGAAAAACAAATGTATCACTGGCCTCCAGGTAATATTGATGTAAAAGGTACGACCCTGACCTTTGGATTTGATTCCTAACGGAATCAATCAATGAACTAATACAGTTTTGGAGGTTTTCACTAAATGTGATGGTAAATCCCCAGGCTAATAGATTGAAAATTCACTTTACACAAATAATCCAACCTACATATAGTTTGACGAACCGTGCACCGTTCAACCCTCTTTGAGAGAGTATAGAATGTTTCGCTATTATAGCTTTATAAACACTAGAATTTTCAATTCGAACTGCAATTTCCATGGGGTTTGCTTTTTTTCAATTGCCTTTAAAATTCAAAATAAATGAATATGTAGCGCGCTTACTCGGGCAATCTTCGTTATTGCACTGCTCTGTTTCCAATGAGGGTCCGACGCAGTTCTTTCCATCATGCTGTGGAACAGGGTTGTCACATTTCCTGCTGCGCGCTCTTCTTCCTCCACCACATGAAGCAGAACAAGCACTCCATTCGAGCCAATTGCTATAACCACCATCAACTGGAAAGAAAGAAGAAGTCAACTGTTGCCTTGTGTAGTGCTAAACGGTTCATAAGCCAAGTGACCTGCACCTTTAGGGCTTTCCAAAGCGACCAGGGATGTGGCTACTTCCTCTGGAGGAAATACCTATCTATTCCACCCCCTGGAATTTCATAAACTTTTGCTAACAGTTTGTTTGTTATTATTAATGCTTCAGAATATCTAGAAGAGGACACTGAGTGCAAATTGTGTCTTGGCCAAGAAAATAACTACATAACCTTGGCCAAGAATAGAATTCGAACCAATCCAAATCTAGCATGTCATGTCCGTCACCAATATTCATTATTAACCAATATTCACTATGGTATAATTAACGTTGAAAAAAGCCTTAAATAAATTGTCTATTTAATTATGAATATTTTGAAATTCCCACAAAAATGCAAAATCAATACAAAACATTGATCATCATGGTTATCACAGTCATCATCCTTTTACCACCAGCGAAATAAACTCAAAGCTACCACGTTCCGTTACTGGATCCAAGCAATGCAGAAGGTGACACGAAATAGACCAGGTATGCTTCTCCTTCAAAACAATCGCTATTTTAATTGATATTCAAGGGAAAGAACACATATTTGCCTTATCTAAAGTTCGTTAAAGTAAGTTAACAGTTTCTCACTTGGACAGTTGTGTGTGTTACATTCTCTTGTTGAAATGTCTGGTCCCAGACTATCACAGTCTTTGCCTCCGTTCGCAGGTGGTGGATTGGTACAAGTGCGCTTGCGTGTTTCTACTCCGCCACCACACGTCTTGGTACATTTGCCGTATTGTGACCAAGCAGAGTATCCGCCATTCACTTCAAAACGAAAATAAAAATTATTGTTAGCATAATCATGCTAGTGTCCTCTAGAAATTCCTGCTCCATTTAAGGGCGATAATCTTTGACAGAAAATTTGATTTTTTGATAGACAGCTTGAAGCCGAGCACAATTTTTCACTTTGATGTTCTCATCCTTAATAAATGTTACTTTTTTTCCAATGAATCTCTCAAGATAAGAAGTGGGATTTTGACTGAAAAATTTTTATGCGTTTACCTGGGCAGCTTCCATCATTGCAATCTTCATATTGTGTGTCAGGTCCCAGGTCAGAGCAGTCCTTTCCACCAGGGCTTGGAGGGGGATTGGTGCATGATCGACGGCGACTCCGACGCCCATCTCCACACGTTTTGGAACACTGAGACCAAGAGCCCCACTCTGAAAACCCTCCGTCATCTACGGTGGAAAATCAAAGATGATGAAGTGTTTGCAATTTTTTTTCTAGCAGGTGATATCTATTATCTAAAAATACATAAAAAAATCTTTTTCACCGCATATATGACGTAACACAGTGTCTACAAAAGGGTCTTTATGTGGTAATGGCTTTTACGGCGAACATTTAAAATTTTGGCAATTTAACAGTGAACAGTCAACCCAAAATTACTCAAAATTACATGTTATAGAAAGGAAAATTATTACGGTTAACTCCTCTAAATTTTTGGCTGTTTTACCCCATAGCGATCCTTATGAAAGTACTTTAAGGTAACTAACAGTTGTTAACAACAAAATCAGAAAAAGCCAACATAAAATTATTGATACACGCAAGATATTTAATCTCACTTGTCTTGCATCCGTAGAATTCAGCCCTCAGGGCGATGTAGCTGTACCATTCCTCTGGAACAATCCTCAAATAGCGCGTGCGAATAGGTTTGGGTAAATCGTGGCTTACGACTGTGTACCGGTCACTGTTTGCCAAAAATGTCTTTAAAAAAAAAAAACAATGAAAATAATGATAACGATGATGATGATAAAATACTCCATGGTAAATTGAGAGACTTTTTACTCACCAAGGTGTAACCAAATGGTTGATACTGGTTCCAGTAAGATTTATCGAGACTGTATCTTAACGTGTATTTTGTGACATACTGATTTGCATTCTGGCGACCCTGGGTAGCAATTCGTGTGACCTGGGTCTCAACTCCAAAGTCAACCTGGAACCACTGATTATGGTTCTGAACGCTTGGAATCCAGGCTCCTTGGCGGCCTCCGACGGGATGAAAGTGAAGTCTCGCATTTTCAGGACCATGATTAGCATTCAATTTCGATGAGGCTGACAATGCAGAATTTGGTATCTTGCCATTTTGCATCCCAAGTTGAATCTGGCATGGAGGAACACTGGGAATGGAAAAACCTAGGAACCAAAGAAAATCGGTGGCTCAACAAAAAATTATTATTATGGTTTTACATTAGATGAGTTCATGGGATCTACAGGAAAGGGGGTTTTGATTTACCTTGCTTGTTACTTCTTATCTCAGAATGAATATCAGACTGCAAAGCTAAATTTTCCGGCGACCTTGTTAATTGACTCTTACATGGCAAACTACTGTATGCATTGTGCCCAATATCAAAATATGCTGTGATAAACATACATTTTATCATTCTTCCCTGGAATTGCTTCTTTTTGCCTTCATAATTGTGATCAATTTTTTTGTAATTTAGTAAAATAGGATTTTTTCGTGGTTTAACAACTACTGAAATCAGAATTCATCGGTAAGTTTCCCATTAAAGGTAGAAAAAGAGAAGTTCTTTCATTTTTTTTCGCGCAAGAGTTCTTTTCTCAACCTAAAATTCTCGTTTTGAACTGCAGGGAGAATTTTCATGTAAAAACTTTTCTCGAACAAAATTGTACAGATAACATTGAAATGAAGGAAAATAGAGGGGTTGGAGAGTTATTGTATTCTGATACGTTTTTGAGTGGCTTTGTGGCAATAGGCCCATGTAGACTATTGAAAAAACCGATTTACTAACCGCTTGTGCATCCGTAAAGCTCGAAACGTAGTGCTATGTAACCTTGCCACTCTTTTGCGTGGATTCTAATATATTGTGCTATTATAGGCGGATTGAGAATGTTCCCAACTATTGTATTCTGGTCCGTATTGCCTGGAAGAACCTATAAAACATGAGAGGTGATGGTGAGTTTATTGTTTCTGTCACTTAAGGACTAAAACGTAACAAGGGTGTTTCATGTTCGTCAGAAAAAGGAACACTTCCAAGAGATGAGACTGACGTAGATTGCATCGTTTTAAGATAAGTGACATGTGGAGAGGACCACACTACACGTAAATAAACAAAGATATCGATGAGGGCCTCCTGATATTTTTGTCTTGCTCTTATCGGAATCAAGAACACACAGGTTTAAATTGTTCCCCTCGGAGCCAAAACACGGCTGAGCTGCGCGGACACAATTGTCAGTTGACTCATACCTTATAAAAAGATCATTTTAGGGGCACAGGCCTTCTTTCTGCAGCATTAATACGAAAATATATAGTGGCTAGAGGAATGAAACTTAGTTTTGTAACTCAAGGAGGCTCGATACAAAACGAAACGTCACGTCCTCCCTATACCTGCAGATTTAAGTTGCTGTTTTTTTACCTGGTTGTCATTGTAAGGCAAGAATGGTCCACCTTCAACACTGTAGGTAAGGGAGAAGCTTTTAACCCAGTGACCCGCCTCTTGCCTCCCTCTCGTGGCTATACGCGTTATTTTTGCAATTTTTCCCAAATTAACTTGTATCCATTGACCAAGGTCCTGCGCATTAGGAATCCACGCTCCAGCAAAACTCCCTGACTTCACTGTATTCAGTCTGGCGCGCTCTGGACCATAATACTGATTTAGGCTGGTAGTAGCAGTGATAGCGCTGTTGGGTATTTTCCCGTTGCTCATTCCAAGTTCTGCTTGGCATTCCAGTTTTGGGGGCTCAAATCCTGATAATTTGAGACCAAAGATGGTTAAAGCCAGGAAACTGCGAAGCACCAATCGAAACGAAGGGAGGAAAGAGTGATTCTGATTATAAGCGAATTACACACTCTTCACTATCACCCCTTCAGAAGAGCCGTATCCGTCGATCTTCGTTTTACAAAGCAAAAGCAGCATGTTTCGCTACTTTTTTTTAACAATTATTTACGGTGCTGGGGGAAAATATTGTTGGATATTTACCAAGCTACAAAGTGGTGTGGTAAATGTCCACCACTTTCACCGACAATGAGGTGAATAATTGTTTAAAATTAGTTAATTCTATCAATGTACCAAAAAGTGGTTGGGACTTTAAATAGCTACGCGCGATTTTGCCTGTTCTACTGCTCGCAGGTGAATAGTATTTGCAAATCACTTACGAACGAGCTAATTAGCGCACACAAAAAGTACTATTCATTTGTATGGTATATAATAAATATTTTTGTCCCACAAATTATTTACAGAACATCATAATCTTACTAGAAAACTTGCCAGTTTATACCACATAAATGGCCTCATATTACGTCGGCAATCACGCGGGAATATTTATTGCTTTCCCTTACCATCTTTGCAACCATAAAACTCTGCTCTCATAGATATGTGACCATACCATTCCACTGGATGAATTCGTATATATCGAGTGATGATGGGATTTTTTAGATCATGATATGCTGGGGTATATCGATCAACACTACCAGCAAAGACCTAAAAGAGAAAGAAGTCAATTACCGTACTTGACCCTCCACGTTTTCTATTAAATCGTTCCGCAGAGTAAACAAATCTTCTACGTTTCAATACTTCATCTGGATATTACATGTACAAGGCACTAAAAAAAACTGATAGTATTTACGAAAGAGAAGAAAAGTATTCTGGATTTGAACCAAACCCGGCCTTAATTTTGTGTTTTACCCCTTCACAGGATAAAATAAGAAGCATTTAATCCAAGGGCATTTATGTCTGTTCAAAAGCTGAGGATTGCTAGAACGCAAGAAGATTATATATCCTTTTCAAATGAAAGGAAAGCTTAAGGTGATTCCTCAGCATTGAACTACGCATACTGAACTGTGCCTAAAAACCACGTAATCAGGCGAAAAAGCGAGCGCATTCCGAGAACAGGGTATTGTTTTTCAGTAATAGACCCAGTAAAGAGGTACAATTGTCTTTAGCTCTTGAACAAGCACAGTGACCTACATTTTTACTCTTATGATTTTTTTAAACAGACATTGGCAAGGAATATTTATGGAAAGTTTAAGATACATTGTTCTATAACTTTTTTGTTCTAAGGAATCACCTTAAGCCTCTCATCTGAACAAAATATTTTTATTAATTCTCCTCCTCTACACCTTCAGCTCATCCTAACCACAAATCTGATGCCAAACCCATGCTATGCACATTTTTATTCCAGATCCCTGAGTAAGTGCTTTGACTTCACAAACAGACTTTTACAATTCCACTATTACACCATTTTACCAAATTAGGGCAACAGAACGCACAAAATATGCTACGGCACTATACCGTAAAACAAAGAAAAAATACGAAAGGAAAGCAGTGCAACAAATTGTCACGATTTTGGTGCTGCTACATATTTATCTTTCATGGAAAGTATTGTTAAAGTATATCATGAAAAAATTACTCATAAGTATAGAAAGCGACGCTAGGTACCTCTGCACCGTCTTCTAAATAAGCTTTGAAGAACACTGCATCGTAGCCATATGAAAGTTTAAACCTCTTCACCCACTGCTCCGCGTTTGATCTCCCTTGAATGGCAACTCGGGTGATCTTTGTCCAGTCTCCAAAATTTGCTTGCAAGAACTGGAACCTATCATTTTTTTGTGCTATCCAGGCTCCATGTCGGCCTGACCTGTAAAGGAAATGTAATCTGCCGTTGATGGCAGTCCCTGTTGAAGCACTTAAAGCAGAGTCTGGAATTCTTTCATTCTGCATTCCAAGAGCTTCCAAGCACACCAAGGCCTTCGGTTTTTCGAATCCTATAGATATAACAAGGGAGAAAATGAAAGGAAACGCAAGCATTCTACAGCGGGGATAATGTACCAAGAAGAAGTTTTGCAATATAAATGACTTTACAACGATTCTTACTGAGAAAATTATGGAGGGGTTAAGTAAAATTCAGCAAAGTTTTCATTGACATACTCGTCGATTCTTTTTTTTCGTAGTATGTTACGTTAAAAACTTTCTAATTGGGGTGTTGACTCTTTCCTTCTTTTCCACTGTAGACCATTGACATTATCTACCGACTGGGTTCCCGTTCTCATTGAAACCCTGTAGGTAACTCCAGAATATATGATACAAAATTTTTATACGACATTCTCAATTCGTTTTTGAATTGAAACCCATACTGAAGTACCTAAAAATTTTCCTATGGAGATTACCTTCGGTACACCCATAAAATTCAGCTCGCAAGGCTGGATGTCCTTTAGATGTTGCCACACGAATCTTAATGAACCGGGCGATTATTGGTGGATCGATGACGCTACCAGCGGGTTCATTTCTATCCTGAGTGTTCCCTGTAAATACCTGATAGGAAGATTTTTCGAGGGTTGGTTAAAGTTCTCAGTAGGTGTATGAATGAGCGAGAGATGAATAAATGAACGAATGAATGAGTGAGAGTATGAAAGAATAAGTTTGTATACATGCATGAGTGTAAGAATGAATTTAATGATGAAAGATTAATGTGTGGTTAGATTAATAAATGAACGAGTCAATAAAAGAATGAGTGAATGAATGTTGAGGCTATTCCACAACAGGTCGTTAAGACCATTACGCAGTTCTACACTCTTCTATAGATACGTAAGACCATGATGCCTCAGTAGCTTGTTCTTTTCATAAAAAATGAAAGAATTTATGAATGAAAAGTAAATTAAAGAATTAATCAGTATTAATGTTCAAAAGACAGAAGGAGTTTTCAAACTCATACTTGTCCATCACCGGCACCGTATGTCGTGAAAGAGACGCCATCAAGACTGTAGGCCAAGATGTAGCTGCTGACCATCCAATTAGCGTCGGAACGCCCTTGAGTTGCCACACCAGTAACCTTGACAAACTTACCAAAGTCGTACTGTATAAACTGGTGAACGTTATTATACTGAGCAGCCCAGCCGCCGTAATAGCTTCCCTCTTTTACGGCGCGAAGCCTGCCACGTTCCGGTCCAAAATACTGGTTGTACATTGAAGAGGCCACTATGGCGCTGCTTGGAATTTTTCCACTTTCGATACCCAGGGGATCTTTGCATTTAGGTTTTGGAGGCGTAAAACCTTTTGAAAAAAGTTAGAATTGAAATTATTTCTATATTTCTTATTTTATTTTTACTCAGCTGCAGAAATCTTCAAAAGAGAGCATATTCAGAGTCTCTCTTTGTTTTTCTGTTTTGTTTTTTTTTTGACTGAAAAACCTCCATCAATGTTATTTGGTGAGTTAAATAAGGCCTCACTTCACAAACTAATATAAGAGGCAAACGGGAATTGTAGTAATTATAGTAATTGTCTGTCGGAAACAAAGCTCCCATTACCCGAAACGATTTAGGTGACCTTGAGCAAATATGTCACTAGAAGTCCATCACTGATCTAAAAGAAGCACATACGTTCTTTAAACGCCTAATGAGGAACATTAATTTTTTTTTGTATTTTACCTTCCCTGCAGCCATAAAACTCTGCTCTAAGCGATATATAGCCTTGCCATGTCTTTGGTTTGATTCGGAGGTAACGAGTGATGATTGGATTCTTTAAAGTATGCTTCACCACCGAGTATTTATCACTGTTTCCAGTAAAAACCTTAAACAAAATGACCAAAAATGTAAGGTTCAATACTTTAGAATGTTAACTTAACCAAGAGAAAAATGTTCAGCATAAATAGCTTCGCATGGAGGTGAACCTTACGATATTTGGCGTTTCTGTTTACCAGACTGATTCAGTACTAAACTATGTGTGGGATGGATGCTTCTGTCTTGTCCAAATATTGACGCAAGTAAAATTGATACCTTACGGAGGTGGGATGGAATTTACCTCATGCTTTACGTGCGCCCCGCGTATTAAAAAAATTCTTTTCTTTCGATGTAAATAAGGTACCTTCACTTCATTGTCTTCTTGATAATCCCTAAAGAACACACCATCGTCACTGCTGGCAAGGATGTAGCTTTTAACCCACCAGGCTCCATCTTGTCTGCCTTGAGTGGCTACTTGAGTTACTTGGGTCCAATCGCCAAAACTGACCTCAAAGTACTGGAATTTGTTATTTGTTGAAGTGGCCCATGCTCCGTACTGTCCTGACTTCGCTTGGAAATGCAATCTTCCATTCCTTGGACCCATAGAGTTTACATTGTAAGACGTGGACGCCCTCAAAGCAGAATCTGGTATCTGGTTATTTTGCATACCAAGAGGTGCTACGCAGGTTGGTGGTTTTGGTGGAGTGAAATCTTTAATCAAGAAGGAAGGAAAAGTAAACTCTAAGAACCGAAGATGTAGAGCAATAATCAAAAGTCACCTAAGAGAATATTTCATTATCACTATAAACATTCCCGGAGCTATGTTTTTTACAGTTGAAGGTCAGCTTCTGTAATCGTAACCAGAGATAGATACTTTAAATATTGTCGCTATTTTTGATAGAAATATGAAATCATATAAATAAAACCCTTCCATTTATCCACCTTCTCGTTGCCAAATATGTATTGATCCGTTCATTCATTCATATTTCCACCCATTATTCATTTATTTTTATAGTAACACAGTCTGTCAGTGCATGATCAGTCACTTTGTCAGTCACTCACTTCGTCAGTCAGTCAGTCACTCAATCAACCCGCTAGTAAACCAGTCACCAAAAAATATATTTTTTGGTTCATTCATCCATTTACTTTATCATTTTTAGCACACATACTCGTATCCATATTTGATATCAAAATCACCTTCTCTGCATCCATATAGTTCCACTCGTAAAGAAATGAATCCCTGCCAAGTTTTGGGGTGAATCTTGATGAAGCGTGCAATTATTGGTGGATTAATCATGCTGCCTGCTGGCGTATTTCTGTCTCGACTTCCAAGAAATACCTTGAATGTATTGAATTAAATCAGTCGTATTGAGTGAGACCAGATCAAATCATATGGCTAACAATGGTGGCTCTAAATACAGGAGCATGCTCGCATATCGGCTTCAAAACGTGTTTTAAAGATTAAAATCGTTCCTCGCCAACGTAACATACTTTTTGAAGGGTAACCCATTTTTTTTTCACCCAGTATGGCAATATTTTCACGGTTTCGCTGCCGTTTCGCATTTGACTCGTAAATATCTATAGGCCCACTTAAAAAAAAATTACCCTTAACTTTTTTTGATGAATTTAGGTGGCTCAGAACTTCTTCCACAAGTCATATTTCTTATTTACTTCTAATAGTTGCTAAGTTGAAAAATTTACGTGCGGGGATAGAGTTAGGAAGATGGGATTCACTATAATAGTACCTGGCCATTGTTGTACGACTCAAAGCTTCCTCCATCAAGCTTAGAGGACATGGTAAAACTAGTTGTCCACCAATCCGCGTTGTCGCGACCCTGGATAGCAATCCTGGTCACTTTTGTATTCTCACCAAGGTCAAATTGTATCCATTCCCCTGTGTTGGATGCCTTTGGAGACCATCCCCCGATAAAGCTTCCTGCTGTAACCTTACGCAGCCTTGCTCTTTCCGGTCCATAGTATGCATTGTATTGGGAGGAGGCCACAATAGCAGCGTTTGGAATCTGACCGTTTTCTAATCCAAGCGCTGACACGCAGACAATCTCAGGATCTTTAAAACCTGACCGAGAAAAGCAAATTTGGCTAACATTATAAAAGTATACAGGATACAGTGACTTTATTGATCAGCGATTGCACTATGTCAAAGAGGGTAAGGTAGTGTTCAAACCCTTGTCAAAGCCTTTGCTTTGTACCAAAGAGCTTGACACCATAATTTCAAAGTGACGTAAATAAAATGAATAAAAAAGAAGCGGAAAAAACTTCTGCTTTGCTTTGTATTTCTCATAATGAAACTTTCACTTTCAAAAAACCCTATTGACTACTAACTTAAGGTAGGGCACGGTTTGGTATTGTATGGCGTATTGCAGTATTTGAGACACTACATAATATTTGAATAAAGGGGTAAGTTTCTAAAGAAACTGTGGTGCTGCGTCGGTGGGAGAGTATAGCAGGTAATTTAGTGTTAACAACTAAGTTGAAAAAGTAAATTGGCCACCGTAAAGGGTAAAAAGAGCTGACGTTTCGAGCGTTAGCTTTTTTACCCTTTACGGTGGCTAATTTACGTTTTCAACTCAGTTGTTAACACTAAATTAACTGCTAGATAATACTTATACGCAGATGATGCGCAGTGGTGTATTCATCGATCTCTATATCAGCTAACGGGAGTGACGGAAACAAACGGATTTGAATACACAGACGGAAATGGAAAAGAATAATTAAAGGCTGCCGGAACTAGAGTCAGCCCTTACTAATGGGCCCGGAGACTAAAATTAAGATCACCAACTATTGTATTTGACGTGATTGTTTTAACAAACAAAGTATAGTAACTGTTTAATAGACTTGAGAATGGCTAAAGATATACTCGATGTCAGCTGTTATGTCTTGTTCCTAACTGGTTAAAATTCATCTGTTAACTCATCAAATTGTATGACAAACGTTGTTTGTTTAGTCGTTACCTTCTCTACAGCCATAGAATTCTGCTCGCAGGGAAATGTACCCTTGCCATGTGATTGGGTTTATGCGAACGCACTTTGAAATTTGGGGGATCTTAAGGTCGTGGCTAACGACCGTGAAACGATCAGTGTTCCCATCAAAAACCTGGAAATTGAATATAAATGTCGAAGTTCATTCACCTATTCGATTAATTTTGAAAGCACAACGTAACATGACGAAGCGCATTTTTCCATTTGACATATAAGTAACTTCACACTGAACCCGATAAGTTACGCGGTTCCTTGACTGTATATACAAGTTTGTTTCACAGTTGACCAGTTGACATTGTCCCCAGGAACAGATACACACTAAGTTAACGTTCCTTTGATTTATCCTTTGGAAACTTTCAGTCACTGTGTAATCATCTTTCAAAAAATTTGGTGTGGGGTTTTTCTGTGGGATCAGGTCAAAACCCTGCTTTCTACTTATAATATCGTTTCTGGCCCTTCTAATGGGCGTATCCTTTTGCAGGTGGCTACCATTTAAGGTTTTTTTTTTCCGTAAGCTTCACACCAGGCATCATTTTTTAATGTGTTACATTTCACCGATTTTCACGGCTTGTGGACCGTCCATAATTTTTTTCACGCTTTGCAAGTATAGGTGATAATTCCGTCACAACACTCAAAGATCAATGAGAGTAGTTTCTTCTAACAGGTGTTTCTCTGCAAATTTCTTGATATCCTCGATGCTAAAAACTTAAATGGGATTCTTATTTATAACTTTGTCTAGGTCTCACCTTTTTGGCGTCAGCCTCTTTGTAGTCTTCAAAGAAAACACAATCATTACTGAAGGATAAACTGTACGTCTTCACCCACCAGGAGCCATCTTGTCTCCCTTGAGTTGCCACACCTGTAACCTTTACGTAGTTACCAAAATCAACTTGAAAATATTGAAATGGATCATTCTTTTTCACGGCCCAGGCACCATACTGGCCACTCTTTGCCTGGAAATGCAACCGTCCGTTTCTCGCACCCATGGAGTTAACATTGTACGATGTGGAGGCACGCAGAGCTGAATCCGGAATTTGGTAGTTCTGCAATCCTAAAATTTTCTTACACTCTTCAGTAGGGCCTTGTTCAAAACCTGTCAGGCGAGAAGAAAATATAGTGAACAGGAGGAGAAATTAGTTATTAATCGCATTTTACTCTGCTATGTGCTTCACGGTAAAGTAAATCTAGTTCCTGCTTTTACTCAGCAAAAGGGATTGTTTTCAAATCGAGGGACAATTTCTCTTCTCAGTAATGAAATGTATTGCATTTACGATGTTTGGACAGGCTGGCCCAGTTCAGTTCAAAGAGGGTTTAAATGTGGGCAAGTTCCCTACTCTACGTGCGAGAAGTGCATGGGTTCGTAAACGTCCCCTGCTAACCAGTACAGTGAGGGTGCAGAAGACGGTACCAGAGAATGTCTAACCAATTGCGGATGTCCTAGCAAAGAGACTTAAGCCCTTGACCTCTTGCACGGTAGTCCGGCGCTTTATAACGTGAACTAACCAAGCCGGCATGATCGTGGTTAAAAAGCTCTCCGCGGAAAGACACCTAATCTATATGTCCTGTTGGCTTACCACTGAGTTTTAAGTTGCTCTGCTGTCATAGCATCCGGCCTGAATCTGTAGTTTCCTCAGGCTAAAATATTCATTTTTTTTCCTAAGTACACAAGATCACTGAATAACAAAAGGGATCACATCGAAAACAGAATGGTACTTCTGTCGAATTCGTTACGAATTGATGACTCTGCCATATGCCTAGTGTGAATGATATCGTGATGAGTAGCATACCTTCCCTGCAGCCAAATAATTCCACTCTCATACAGATGCGTCCATTCCAGGTCATAGGATGGATTCGCACGTACCGTGCTATTATCGGCTCATCAAGAATTCGACCTTCCGCTGTATTCCTGTCGCTATTTCCAATGATCACCTTTAAATACGACACCTTCATATAAGATTCCTCCATTTTGATTAAACGAAAAACTATCATAAATTTGACCAGCGCAGATTATTAAAGTTTTTTTTTTGTCATGGTCTTTTTTCTATTCATTTGTAAATATTTTTTCTGTTTGTCATGTTTTTTTGTTTTGTTTTGTTTGGTTGTTTATATCGCAGGCATCAGAACACGTTTTAGTATGAGAACTTGTGAAGTCGAAGATGCAGCCGGGGGTTGCAGCAAAGGAAGTCAGGATTGGTGCGACTCCACCGTATTTTTCAAGAGGAATATGAGTTGAAATAAAATCAAATGCCTTTGCACTTCTCGGAATAGGTGTTACCAAAAAATAAACATAACGCTTCATGCCAAACTAATTATCACTCAGAAAGGATATTCAGCATACCTCGCCATTTTTGTAAGACTTATATTTCCCTCCGTCGCTGTAGGTCAGTGTATATTTCGTAACCCACCAGTTAGCATCATATCTTCCCTGAGTCGCGATTCGGGTGACTTTTGTGATTTTTCCTAAGTCTATCTCAAGCCATTGACCAACGTCCACGTGCTTTGAGGCCCAACCACCGTAATAGCTTCCCTCTTGCTTCATGTGTAACCTGCTTCTTTCAGGTCCAAAGTATTGGTTGTAGTCGGACGAAGACTTCAAGGCAGAGTTAGGAATAATTTTGCTTTCCATTCCGAGAGGTTTTGCACAAGCTATTTTTGGAGGATCGAATCCTGTTGGAGAAATGTAAGGGAACAAACATTTCTTTTCCAAGAAAGTAAGCTTCAAGGCCCAATTGTTCAAAGGGTCGATCAATTCAAAGCTTCAACATCTCCCCCCGGGAAAACCCCGAGCATTTGAACTTTTGAAGACTGTTTTATTCCGCCCATTTTTTTTGTTAATTGTAAAATCAGCGACCGTGGCTTCTACACATCATTGACCAAGCTGTAAAGCCTAAACCTTGTAAACCTTATCTTCTAAGCCATTCGCTTGCGAAGGTAAACTTTTTACCTTAACCACCTCCATGTTTAAAGATATAACACAGGAAAGACTCGAAACTTCCGATTCAATTTCCCAATCCCAGCCGGACAAGGTTTAAATGCTCCACCTCCCGGGCACGAAAGACGGTCAAATGCCTGTGGGTTGCCGGGGGGGGGGGATGTTGCGGCTTTGATTGACGTATAACGTGATGCAACGGATAAATTGCTATGTAGCGGGTAAGTGTCAATAAAGCACACTGACAGTAGGACAAAAGAAAGACAGACAATCACACCAATCCTTATAGGATCCCATTGGATCATTTACCTTTACTGCAGCCATAAAACTCTGTTCTCATTGAGATGTGTCCATTCCATTCTTCAGGATGAATTCGAATGTATCGAGTTATAACTGGTTTGTACAAGGTGTTTCTTACCACTGTGTATCGATCAAAGTTCCCTTTAAAAATCTGTGCAAGAAAAATTTTTATGACGAATTTCAAAGTGTTGCTAACCTTTTTAACGAACGAACGAAAACAAACGTTCATACATCTTTTCAATGAACACCTCCACGTCAATAGATTACAGTGTGTAATAAAATGCCCGTGATACTGACTAGACAAAAGAGTAATTACTTCCTTTTGCATAAGCACCTTATCGGACATATAAGCTGGTTTGCTTCCATTTGACTAAAAGATTAGGTGCCCCTCAAACTCGCAAAGCTATGCCCTGGTTCGATTACTCGATAGATATAAATATAGTTCGGTGCAGCTCCACGGATATATCAACAATGTAACAGTACTATCCAGTTTCTCTATGCAAAAAAGAACTGGAAAGAAGCTTCACCAGATGCCGGAGAGGGCATGCTATGTTGCCCTTACGAGGACGTGCACATGGCTCTACTAACAATATACCTGTTTTGAAGCATGCTCGTTGTTTACAACTTCCCAAAACACAGAATCGTAGCTGAAAGAAAGGCTGTACAGTTTAACCCACTGATTATAGTCCTGTCTTCCCTGTGTAGCAACAGCCGTAATTTTTCTCCAGTCTCCAAAATCAACCTGTAACCATTGCAACAGATTGTTGGTTTTGGTCGCCCAGCTGCCATATTTTCCACTGCCAGACATAAGAAAATGAAGGCGGCCAACGGAAGGGGGATAGCTGTTAGCGTTATATGAGCTGGATGCAGAGATAGCAGAGTCGGGTATCTCACCGCTTTCCATACCCAAGGCCTCCATGCATTGTGGCGCTTTTGGGACTGAATCACCTGCACGAGGCAAACGTAAGTTGGTTTAAAGGACTGTGCGTGTTTGATATTTCAATTGAGAGGGGAACAAATTAAGTTAATACCTATCAGTGGTTATTCATCTAGTAACCGCCTTAAAAAATGCAGTAAGAACTAATGTAACAGAAGTCTGTTTTACAGTGTCTTTGGAAATTTTGAGTGTTTGAACTAAAAGTATTAGTTGTTAAAAGTCAAGTAAGAAATCACCTTATCGGTGAAAAGCGTATTTGGTGATTTTTTTACCCTTTAACTCCCAAGATCTCATTAGTAATTCTCCTTACTGTCTGCCATATAGTTCTTGTGATTTTTGTTTGGAGAATTTGGTATTGTATCAACTAATAATCCCCTAATTAAGATTTTTCTTTACTCTCATCACTTGTCTGCTTGATATTGTATTGATATTGTAAGGAGAAATTCTGTCTTGGTCATTCATGGGAGTTAAAGGGGGATAATTATAATCATTTTTCCCTGTGTTATCCATGCTCAAAGTGACGTTTTCCTAGCTTCCTCTCTCACTAAAAAACACACTCGAAAAGTGCCTGAATAGGCAACCTTATATTTCCTCAACAGTAGCTTGAAAAGTGTGTCAGCTCAGTCAGGTCTCAGCCCCTCAATCCCACCTCCCCTCGCCCACAAATGCCATCTTTTTCGGTCTAACAGGAGAGCCTTCGCATAATTCTCTCATATTTTTCGTAGCAAGGTTCATTTGGCCTTGTGTGGCGTTGGCGTACCTTACTTTTCTATAATTTGAAGTTCCTCCGAAAAGGCATTTTTTTCTAATATTTTAAACACGAAAGAACATTTACGCTCCATATTGTATGAATCTAGATGAACTTAATGGTGCGTTGGTGACAGAAATTAAGACAATGGTAAGTAGAACGGAAGCCATAATAGTACCATCGACAGAGCACCCATATAACTCCACCCTCAGCGAGGGATATCCTTGATATGTTTTGACGTTGATTTTGATGTAGCGAGCCATGATGGGTGGGTCAATAATCCGGCCAACGGCAGTTTTGTAGTCGTAATTGCCGTGGAAAACCTTAAAAACAATGACAAATGAAATTTGAAGTTATATCATGTATATCGAAGTAATGAAACCTTACGTCAAATAATTGCTATCATAACCCACCCATTAATTACAGCTCGATTTTATTGGCTACTTTATGTGACGTGGTGCAAAATCACCGGACAGTTTACAGCAATAATCCCTGTCTGCGTCGATATTTATCCTGCAAATGCTTGCGTCCAAAAGAAAAAAAAAACGGCAGAAGGAAAGCAGCCCAAAAGTTTCATCTTTTTTACTCTATCATTTTACATGGAAACTACAAAAACTCGTTTTGTAGAGTCTAGTGATAGTGATATTAAAATATGCATCCGCCACCAGATCAACAGTGAAGAGTTTGCTTCTCGGCCAAAATCTCGTAGCCGTGAACATTATTAGCCGACTACCAGCCGTACGTAAGTACGTGGAGATGAAGACGGCATATTTTATAAACGTGGCTCCGATCGTAACAAGGACGAAAGAAGTTTATTCAAACGGTGGATAAATGGCAGGATAAAATGGCCGGACAGTAAACTGAGCTGTTGTCGTACGAAATCCAGTTAGCATGGCAAAAAAACCACATTATAGATAAATAGCCAATCAGGAAGTTGCTGTGATGCTAAGCTACTAGCTTTTCAATTACAGTTTGCATCAACGTGAGCGGCAGCAAAGAATAATAACGCACCTCATTCCCACTAATGTATGGTACAAAAGCTTCCCCATGAACACTGTATTCCAAGGTATAGGTCTTTGACCACCAGCCTGCGTCATAGCGCCCTTGTGTAGCGATCCCGGTCACGGTGGTCACTTTTTGCAGGTCAATCTGCAGGAACTGCTTATCGTCCTGGTATTGGGAAATCCAGCCTCCATTAAAGCTACCTAATTAGCGATATCAATGACTTATGTTAATCGGTACAGCTGCCTTATACTCGTCTACGTTATAAGTGTTCATGTTCCTCCGTTGTCATCATGCAGCCAGGTTGCCACAAAAATTCATTTGCTGGGAAGCCAGCTATCTTTTTTCCTCTACACTGTACTTTCTGTGTGTGTGTTTTTTTTCTCTTTTGAGTGGGTTTTTCGGTCTATGTTATTTTAGTTTTTAAAGGCTACTAGGAAAGGAAACTATAGGTCTACAAAAATTTCTTACCTTCTTTTTTCTCGTTCAGTCTTCCGCGTTCAGGTCCCCACCATTGGTTGTAACGCGATGATGCTACGATGGCCGAATCTGGAATCGCGCCGTTTTCCATTCCCAGAGCCGAAAAACATTCTATCTTAGGAGCTTCGACGCCTGTTTTGAATTTAAAGGGAAAAGGTAGTCATTCTTCTATATGCTGTGGGAAATCTTTAAAGTGATTAGTAGATGTTAGAATGTTCCTCAGACACCTTAGATACCCTTAGACACCTCATGAAGCCATGTTATCTTCAGCTTTTCAGAAATTCAGAGATGATGACGGTAGGTCGTTTTTGATGATAATTGATAGCTACAAACATCCATTATGTAAGTGCGTTACATCCATCTGCATTACATGACATAATATTGCTATTGTAAGGTTTTTCCACTGATTGAGTTCATCATGCAGCCAGTGATTAGTTTCCAACCTCATTACGTACTTTTCAGCAATTATGAAGCAGTCTAAAATTATTTTAAAGCAGCAGAAATACAGAAAGGAGATACTGCACTCCTAATCCAAAGTTAGAGTTAAGAATCAACTTCTTTATCAGAGAATGCATTACTCGTTAGTTGTAAAGGAAGGAGATAAGCTCTGAATTTCATGCGAAATGCAATTTATACAAGCTGGATATATATTTTCCGTGACTGGAAGAACCCTAGCATCAGTGATCTAATCCAATTTGCTTTTCCATAAGTAGATAAAAAAGTAGATTCTGGAACGCTGACGATATTGTCTTCTCAAACGTTCATTTAAATTGCATTTTTCATCTTTCTGACCCTAGTTGGATTAAATCGCGTTTATTTTTCTATACCCTCTCAATTTAGATAAGAAGAACAACCTGCTACCTTCAATGCAACCGTAAAATTCCGTTCTCATGGACACATGTCCATACCACTCTTCAGGATGAATCTGGATGTACCGGGTTACAACTGGTCGGTCCAGCAAGTTCCTCACAACCGTGTATCGGTCGGAGTTGCCATTGAAGACCTGTGGAAATAACAACAAGCTTTTCGAGCGTTTCACAGCAGGGATTTTACATATACATCATGGATGCACATGTCAAGCAGTCAATAGCTGTAAGCTCTGATTCAAGTTCGTCTATGGAGATTACTGAGGTCTAAGCTACGTACTTTTAGATCAACGTCAGTATCTGAGAACTGTGCACGTACCCCTTATCCCCCCCACCCTCAACCCGACAACAGTCAACTGATTACAACTTAGAGTTAATATTGGGTTATGAGAGGTGTAGGTACGCAAATGCTAAGATATGGACATTTATCCTAAATGTTTTTAAGGGAAGTATGATGGCTTACATCAGAAACTTGCTTCAATTTCAAATTACATGTAAGTGTTGTGATAAATGACCGATGGATAATAAGTGAGAAAATCTGAACCACAAATGAAAAATTCCATGAAAGGAACTGCAGAAAGTAAAGCCTTAAATTCGGGCTCGACAGGGGCTAACATCGTATCATCCAAAAATCGTTCTACGTAAGTTTAATTCTACCGCATTCATTTTATGTCACTGATTTTAACATTTCGAACGGAACAGAACAAATCAACCAAAGTGTAGTCGCCTAGTTCTTCATCTAAGATTAACTAACCATTTTAATACCTGTTTTGAGCCTTGTTCGTTTTTAACCGTTGCCCAAAACACTTCATTATAGCTGTACGAAAGGCTGTACTTTTTAACCCATTGATTGTAGTCCTGTCTCCCTTGTGTGGCGACAGCTGTAACTTTTGTCCAACGGCCAAAATCAACCCGGAACCATTGCATTAAATTGTTTGCTCCGGCAGCCCAGCTGCCATATTTTCCACTGCCAGACATAAGAAAATGAAGTCGGCCAAGGGAAGGGCCATAGCTGTTAGCGTTATATGAGCTAAATGCAGAGATAGCGGAGTCAGGTATATTACCGTTTTCCATGCCCAAGGCATTCATGCACTGTGGCGGTTTTGGGACGGAGAAACCTAAATACCAGTATGTAAAAACACATGTGAGAAAATAGGTGTGTTTTTTATGTGCAAAACTTTGGTCACTTTGGTTAGTTGGTGTGACGAGAAAAAAAATGGCACAGCTACGCCAAACTAAGAAAAATGTTAGGTAAGATATGTCATCAACGTACGTCCTCGATTAGGCCTAAAAACATAGCCAGGTGTTCAAGCAACTGAGTAGGAGAGAAACCGTCTGCGAACCGGGCCTGGTCTTAAAATATTGGGCCATCGAGAACTGTTAAAACAGATTGCGAGTGTGTCTGTCAAGCTAAAATTCTCTTAAGAAATTTCAAACAATAAGTGCCCTACACTTTTGTGTATGAGAAAGCCAATAAAGCTGTTAAACAGCCAAAACCAAAATGTAAATTCGAAAGCTGATTAGCAAAAAGGCATGTTTCAACCAACGAACATTTTTGAAAACTGAAAACTCGTCTGACACTTAAACCATGATTTATGAGCACGTTGGAAGGGTGGATCACAAAACGGCTTGTAAAAGATAAAAAAATATTGAGAATTTGTCTCTGGTGCGTTCGGAAGCATGCTACCTCGTCACCTTTCCCCTGTACTTCCATGGAAATTCATTTATGATACTACACATACCTTTGGTGCATCCAAATAACTCCACTCTCAATGATGGATATCCAACGAATTCTTTGACGTTGATTTTGATGAAACGAGCTACAATGGGTGGGTTGAGGTTATGGCCAACAGCAGAAGTATAGTCAATATTTCCTTGTAGAACCTTTGAAAGATCAAAGTATTTATTCAAACAATTAAAAACCTACTTTTGTTTAAACCTTGTTTGAATTCATCATGGTAATAGGACCGAATGAAATCCAATTCGCCCTTGAAAAAACAGCTCGACGGTGAGGCAGAAGTCCGACTTTTTTATTAGGATTCTGATAACAGATAGAATTAGACAACGCAAATTCCTGTTGCCCGTAAATCAAAATGACTGTGACAGTAATTGACAAACAAAATATGAACCAGTTAAACGTATACATAAAGAGAAAAAACCACAACAGTGGACTATTTTCCACAAGTCTTTATAACAGCGCGAGCAAATAGAGCGCATTGTTTAATCATGTGACGAATTAACTCTCCAATTCAGTTGTCCAGTAACTGAGGAACTAGCGCTTAAATCGTGATGTTGTTACCCCCGCCACGATTGTAAAAGTTGGTATGGTTTAATTGATGTGATGGAGATATAAATTACCTGGCCATCATTATACGATAAAAATTCTCCTCCGTGTACACTGTATTCCAGGGTATAGGCCTTTGTCCACCAGCCGGCGTTATAGCGCCCTTGAGTTGCAATCCTGGTCACCTTGGTAACATTCTGTAAGTCAATCTGTAGGAACTGTTTATCATCTTTGTATTGGGAAATCCAGCCTCCTTGGAAATTCCCTAATAGAAATAGAGATTATTCCATGGAAATTGTGCACTTACGATTTTCATTCATGAGTTGCGATGCATCAAAAAAATGAACGAATGAGCGCAGTGAACGAGTGAGGTTTTTTCTTTACGCATCCAAACGCATTTTGATGCATCGCAATATTGCAACGAGAGAATGAAAATCGTTCAAGCAATTTCAATGGTATAATGTAATTATTTCATAAATACTGAGATTTTTTCACATTTCAATTTGAAGATTGGAAGCGAACGACTATGAAAATACATCATCAGTCCAATCAGAAATAAATAAGCATTCGCAATTAATATCAAACATTCATCAAATTCACTTCATTTCAAGGCAATTTGTCCATTTCTGTTAAAAAAGAGAATAAGCCATATTTAATTTGAAGAAGTCAGGCGGCATCTTGTTAGGGCAGAATCGGTTTCCCACCAAAGTTCAAATTTCGACCAAAGCTAACATTAACGGACGAGCTTAATCTAAGTTGGCTCCCTAATTATTTTGTACTTTTTCAATACATGAAGTTAGTGACCGTCAATGCTTTACAACGGCTGCAGCATTTCATTTAAGGCATAAATCGCAATAACAGGAGCAATATTTCAACAGAGGGACTTGATTAACGACGTAAAAGGCTCAAATTCTGATTTGAATGAATCAGATAATTGAGTAAAATGTAAAAGAAAAATCTAGTAATGCGCAAATAAAGGAATGAATGAATTAATCAGTCAATTAAATCAATTTCCAATTCAACGTAAGTAATCCGAGAGAGAGTGCATTCCTTTTTGTTCGCCCTGTGATAGTTCCAGAAACCTGGCACCACTTTCTCAAACAATCAGGTGCCAAACTAAAACAAATCACGACTTCTTTTTTACTGCACTTTAAGTTGTTTGGTTGCTTTTTCACTTTGAGTTCTCATTGGCTCTTAAAGATATTTTCTCTCTTCCGATTGGGCGCTATGGTTACTTTGGTTTTAGTTTTGCGACATTAAATTGTAAAGCGCTCTAATCAATCAATCAAGACATACATATATAGATTAAACAATATCTAAACTAGTAACTAAGCCTGCTATCATTTAAAGGAGGGACCACGAACCATCAACTGCCTCGTTGAATCTTCCACGCTCAGGCCCCCACCACTGGTTATAGCGCGACGACGCTACAATGGCTGAATCTTCTATGTCACCGCTTTCCATCCCTAGAGGCGATGCGCACTCTATTTTGGGGATATCAAATCCTGGTTGCGAAAAAAAAAAAAAAAAGGACAGGAAAATTATATTATTTTAAAAACACCATCATCTTTACTATCTGGAATTATTTTGAATTGCTACCAAAAAATTAAAAACATTTTCCTATTTCTTCGCCGTAACGATATGATTGCTTGATTAACCAGGTACTCATCGGTAGTATGGCACGATAAGCGAAATTTCTTTTATGGCGCAATCCCCTTCGTGAATTTCAGGTACCCTTTTTAAAGAAAATGATTCGACATTGAATAAAAGGATCTCATATGTTGAGAGATATTTAAAGATATAACACCGGAAAGACTCGAAACTTCCGATTCAATTTCCCAATCCCAGCCGGACAAGGTTTAAATGCTCCACCTCCCGGGCACGAAAGACGGTCAAATGCCTGTGGGTTGCCGGGGGGGGGGGGGATGTTGCGGCTTTGATTGACGTATAACGTGATGCAACGGATAAATTGCTATGTAGCGGGTAAGTGTCAATAAAGCACACTGACAATAGGACAAAAGAAAGACAGACAATCACACCAATCCTTATAGGATCCCGTTGGATCATTTACCTTTACTGCAGCCATAAAACTCTGTTCTCATTGAGATGTGTCCATTCCATTCTTCAGGATGAATTCGAATGTATCGAGTTATAACTGGTTTGTTCAAGGTGTTTCTTACCACTGTGTATCGATCAAAGTTCCCTTTAAAAATCTGTGCAAGAAAAATTTTTATGACGAATTTCAAAGTGTTGCTAACCTTTTTAACGAACGAAAGAAAACAAACGTTCATACACCTTTTCAATGAACACCTCCACGTCAATAGATTACAGTGTGTAATAAAATGCCCGTGATACTGACTAGACAAAAGAGTAAGTACTTCTTTTTGCATTAGCACCTTATCGGACATATAAGCTGGTTTGCTTCCATTTGACTAAAAGATTAGGTGCCCCTCAAACTCGCAAAGCTATGCCCTGGTTCGATTACTCGATAGATATAAATATAGTTCGGTGCAGCTCCACGGATATATCAACAATGTAACAGTACTATGCAGTTTCTCTATGCAAAAAAGAACTGGAAAGAAGCTTCACCAGATACCGGAGAGGTCATGCTATGTTTCCCTTACGAGGACGTGCGCATGGCTCTACTAACAACATACCTGTTTTGAAGCATGCTCGTTGTTTACAACTTCCCAAAACACAGAATCGTAGCTGAAAGAAAGGCTGTACAGTTTAACCCACTGATTATAGTCCTGTCTTCCCTGTGTAGCAACAGCCGTAATTTTTCTCCAGTCTCCAAAATCAACCTGTAACCATTGCAACAGATTGTTGGTTCCGGCCGCCCAGCTGCCATATTTTCCACTGCCAGACATAAGAAAATGAAGGCGGCCAACGGAAGGGGGATAGCTGTTAGCGTTATATGAGCTGGATGCAGAGATAGCAGAGTCGGGTATCTCACCGCTTTCCATACCCAAGGCCTCCATGCATTGTGGCGCTTTTGGGACTGAATCACCTGCACGAGCCAAACGTAAGTTGGTTTAAAGGACTGTGCGTGTTTGATATTTCAATTGAGAGGGGAACAAGTTAAGTTAATACCTATCAGTGGTTATTCATCTAGTAACCGCCTTAAAAAATGCAGTAAGAACTAATGTAACAGAAGTCTGTTTTACAGTGTCTTTGGAAATTTTGAGTGTTTGAACTAAAAGTATTAGTTGTTAAAAGTCAAGTAAGAAATCACCTTATCGGTGAAAAGCGTATTTGGTGATTTTTTTACCCTTTAACTCCCAAGATCTCATTAGTAATTCTCCTTAATGTCTGCCATATAGTTCTTGTGATTTTTGTTTGGAGAATTTGGTATTGTATCAACTAATAATCCCCTAATTAAGATTTTTCTTTACTCTCATCACTTGTCTGCTTGATATTGTATTGATATTGTAAGGAGAAATTCTGTCTTGGTCATTCATGGGAGTTAAAGGGGGATAATTATAATCATTTTTCCCTGTGTTATCCATGCCCAAAGTGACGTTTTCCTAGCTTCCTCTCTCACTAAAAAACACACTCGAAAAGTGCCTGAATAGGCAACCTTATATTTCCTCAACAATAGCTTGAAAAGTGTGTCAGCTCAGTCAGGTCTCAGCCCCTCAATCCCACCTCCCCTCGCCCACAAATGCCATCTTTTTCGGTCTAACAGGAGAGCCTTCGCATAATTCTCTCATATTTTTCGTAGCAAGGTTCATTTGGCCTTGTGTGGCGTTGGCGTACCTTACTTTTCTATAATTTGAAGTTCCTCCGAAAAGGCATTTTTTTCTAATATTTTAAACACGAAAGAACATTTACGCTCCATATTGTATGAATCTAGATGAACTTAATGGTGCGTTGGTGACAGAAATTAAGACAATGGTAAGTAGAACGGAAGCCATCATATTACCATCGACAGAGCACCCATATAACTCCACCCTCAGCGAGGGATATCCTTGATATGTTTTAACGTTGATTTTGATGTAGCGAGCCATGATGGGTGGGTCAATAATCCGGCCAACGGCAGTTTTGTAGTCGTAATTGCCGTGGAAAACCTTAAAAACAATGATACGTGAAATTTGAAGTTATATCATGTATACCGAAGTAATAAAACCTTACGTCAAATAATTGCTATCATAACCCACCCATTAATTACAGCTCGATTTTATTGGCTACTTTACGTCACGTGGTGCAAAATCACCGGACAATTTACAGCAATAATCCCTGTCGGCGTCGATATTTATCCTGCAAATGCTTGCGTCCAAAAGAAAAAAAAAACGGTAGAAGGAAAGCAGCCCAAAAGTTTCATCTTTTTTACTCTATTATTTTACATGGAAACTACAAAAACTCGTTTTGTAGAGTCTAGTGATAGTGATATTAAAATATGCATCCGCCACTAGATCAACAGTGAAGAGTTTGCTTCTTGGCCAAATATTAATTTTTCGGAAAATCTCGAAGCCGTGAACATTATTAGCCTACTACCAGCCCCCCAGAGGGTTTTTTTTTACTGAATATCTTTCTGTTTTTTAAACGCTCGTCCGAAATGAAAGCATTTACACATTTAAGTATACGGTTGTGCTAAAAAATCTCAAGTGCTTGTTAAATAGACTATTCTATGACCTTCTGATTATTTAATCAGAGGTAATAAAATTATATCATTTGCGAGGAATAAGTACGTGGAGATGAAGACGGCATCTTTTATAAACGTGGCTCCGATCGTAACGAGGACGAAAGAAGTTTATTTAAACGGTGGATAAATGGCAGGATAAAATGGCAAGACAGTAATCCAGCAGTGAGCTGTTGTCGTACGAAATCCAGTTAGCATGGCGAAAAAACCACATGATAGATAAATAGCCAATCAGGAAGTTGCTGTGATGCTAAGCTACTAGCTTTTAAATTACAGTTTGCATCAACATGAGCGGCAGCAAAGAATAATAACGCACCTCACTCCCACTAATGTATGGTACAAAAGCTTCCCCATGAACACTGTATTCCAAGGTATAGGTCTTTGACCACCAGCCTGCGTCATAGCGCCCTTGTGTAGCGATCCCGGTCACGTTGGTCACTTTTTGCAGGTCAATCTGCAGGAACTGCTTATCGTCCTGGTATTGGGAAATCCAGCCTCCATTAAAGCTACCTAATTAGCGATATCAATGACTTGTGTTAATCGGTACAGCTGCCTTATACTCGTCTACGTTATAAGTGTTCATGTTCCTCCGTTGTCATCATGCAGCCAGGTTGCCACAAAAATTCATTTGCTGAGAAGCCAGCTATCTTTTTTCCTCTACACTGTACTTTCTGTGTGTGTGTTTTTTTTTCTCTTTTGAGTGGGTTTTCGGTCTATGTTATTTTAGTTTTTAAAGGCTACTAGGAAAGGAAACTATAGGTCTACAAAAAATTTCTTACCTTCTTTCTTCTCGTTCAGTCTTCCGCGTTCAGGTCCCCACCATTGGTTGTAACGCGATGATGCTACGATGGCCGAATCTGGAATCGCGCCGTTTTCCATTCCCAGAGCCGAAAAACATTCTATCTTAGGAGCTTCGACGCCTGTTTTGAATTTAAAGGGAAAAGGTAGTCATTCTTCTATATGCTGTGTGAAATCTTTAAACTGATTAGTAGATGTTAGAATGTTCCTCAGACACCTTAGATACCCTTAGACACCTCATGAAGCCATGTTATCTTCAGCTTTTCAGAAATTCAGAGATGATGACGGTAGGTCGTTTTTGATGATAATTGATAGCTACAAACATCCATTATGTAAGTGCGTTACATCCATCTGCATTACATGACATAATATTGCTATTGTAAGGTTTTTCCACTGATTGAGTTCATCATGCAGTCAGTGATTAGTTTTCAACCTCATTACGTACTTTTCAGCAATTATGAAGCAGTCTAAAATTATTTTAAAGCGGCAGAAATACAGAAACTAGATATTGCACTCCTAATCCAAAGTTAGAGTTAAGAATCAGCTTCGTTATCAGAGAATGCATTACTCGTTAGTTGTAAAGGAAGGAGATAAGCTCTGAATTTCATGCGAAATGCAATTTATACAAGCTGGATATATATTTTCCGTGACTGGAAGAACCCTAGCATCAGTGATCTAATCCAATTTGCTTTTCCATAAGTAGATAAAAAAGTAGATTCTGGAACGCTGACGATATTGTCTTCTCAAACGTTCATTTAAATTGCATTTTTCATCTTTCTGACCCTAGTTGGATTAAATCGCGTTTATTTTCTATACCCTCTCAATTTAGATAAGAAGAACAACCTGCTACCTTCAATGCAACCGTAAAATTCCGTTCTCATGGACACATGTCCATACCACTCTTCAGGATGAATCTGGATGTACCGGGTTACAACTGGTCGGTCCAGCAAGTTCCTCACAACCGTGTATCGGTCGGAGTTGCCATTGAAGACCTGTGGAAATAACAACAAGCTTTTCGAGCGTTTCACAGCAGGAATTTTACATATACATCATGGATGCACATGTCAAGCAGTCAATAGCTGTAAGCTCTGATTCAAGTTCGTCTATGGAGATTACTGAGGTCTGAGCTACGTACTTTTAGATCAACGTCAGTATCTGAGAACTGTGCACGTACCCCTTATCCCCCCCACCCTCAACCCGACAACAGTCAACTGATTACAACTTAGAGTTAATATTGGGTTATGAGAGGTGTAGGTACGCAAATGCTAAGATATGGACATTTATCCTAAATGTTTTTAAGGGAAGTATGATGGCTTACATCAGAAACTTGCTTCAATTTCAAATTACATGTAAGTGTTGTGATAAATGACCGATGGATAATAAGTGAGAAAATCTGAACCACAAATGAAAAATTCCATGAAAGGAACTGCAGAAAGTAAAGCCTTAAATTCGGGCTCGACAGGGGCTAACATCGTATCATCCAAAAATCGTTCTACGTAAGTTTAATTCTACCGCATTCATTTTATGTCACTGATTTTAACATTTCGAACGGAACAGAACAAATCAACCAAAGTGTAGTCGCCTAGTTCTTCATCTAAGATTAACTAACCATTTTAATACCTGTTTTGAGCCTTGTTCGTTTTTAACCGTTGCCCAAAACACTTCATTATAGCTAGCTGTACGAAAGGCTGTACTTTTTAACCCATTGATTGTAGTCCTGTCTCCCTTGTGTGGCGACAGCTGTAACTTTGTCCAACGGCCAAAATCAACCCGGAACCATTGCATTAAATTGTTTGCTCCGGCAGCCCAGCTGCCATATTTTCCACTGCCAGACATAAGAAAATGAAGTCGGCCAAGGGAAGGGCCATAGCTGTTAGCGTTATATGAGCTAAATGCAGAGATAGCGGAGTCAGGTATGTTACCGTTTTCCATGCCCAAGGCATTCATGCACTGTGGCGGTTTTGGGACGGAGAAACCTAAATACCAGTATGTAAAAACACATGTGAGAAAATAGGTGTGTTTTTTATGTGCAAAACTTTGGTCACTTTGGTTAGTTGGTGTGACGAGAAAAAAAATGGCACAGCTACGCCAAACTAAGAAAAATGTTAGGTAAGATATGTCATCAACGTACGTCCTCGATTAGGCCTAAAAACATAGCCAGGTGTTCAAGCAACTGAGTAGGAGAGAAACCGTCTGCGAACCGGGCCTGGTCTTAAAATATTGGGCCATCGAGAACTGTTAAAACAGATTGCGAGTGTGTCTGTCAAGCTAAAATTCTCTTAAGAAATTTCAAACAATAAGTGCCCTACACTTTTGTGTATGAGAAAGCCAATAAAGCTGTTAAACAGCCAAAAACCAAAATGTAAATTCGAAAGCTGATTAGCAAAAGAAGGCATGTTTCAACCAACGAACATTTTTGAAAACTGAAAACTCGTCTGACACTTAAACCATGATTTATGAGCACGTTGGAAGGGTGGATCACAAAACGGCTTGTAAAAGATAAAAAAATATTGAGAATTTGTCTCTGGTGCGTTCGGAAGCATGCTACCTCGTCACCTTTCCCCTGTACTTCCATGGAAATTCATTTATGATACTACACATACCTTTGGTGCATCCAAATAATTCCACTCTCAATGATGGATATCCAACGAATTCTTTGACGTTGATTTTGATGAAACGAGCTACAATGGGTGGGTTGAGGTTATGGCCAACAGCAGAAGTATAGTCAATATTTCCTTGTAGAACCTTTGAAAGATCAAAGTATTTATTCAAACAATTAAAAACCTACTTTTGTTTAAACCTTGTTTGAATTCATCATGGTAATAGGACCGAATGAAATCCAATTCGCCCTTGAAAAAAACAGCTCGACGGTGAGGCAGAAGTCCGACTTTTTTATTAGGATTCTGATAACAGATAGAATTAGACAACGCAAATTCCTGTTGCCCGTAAATCAAAATGACTGTGACAGTAATTGACAAACAAAATATGAACCAGTTAAACGTATACATAAAGAGAAAAAACCACAACAGTGGACTATTTTCCACAAGTCTTTATAACAGCGCGAGCAAATAGAGCGCATTGTTTAATCACGTGACGAATTAACTCTCCAATTCAGTTGTCCAGTAACTGAGGAACTAGCGCTTAAATCGTGATGTTGTTACCCCCGCCACGATTGTAAAAGTTGGTATGGTTTAATTGATGTGATGGAGATATAAATTACCTGGCCATCATTATACGATAAAAATTCTCCTCCGTGTACACTGTATTCCAGGGTATAGGCCTTTGTCCACCAGCCGGCGTTATAGCGCCCTTGAGTTGCAATCCTGGTCACCTTGGTAACATTCTGTAAGTCAATCTGTAGGAACTGTTTATCATCTTTGTATTGGGAAATCCAGCCTCCTTGGAAACTCCCTAATAGAAATAGAGATTATTCCATGGAAATTGTGCACTTACGATTTTCATTCATGAGTTGCGATGCATCAAAAAAATGAACGAATGAGCGCAGTGAACGAGTGAGGTTTTTTCTTTACGCATCAAACGCATTTTGATGCATCGCAATATTGCAACGAGAGAATGAAAATCGTTCAAGCAATTTCAATGGTATAATGTAATTATTTCATAAATACTGAGATTTTTTCACATTTCAATTTGAAGATTGGAAGCGAACGACTATGAAAATACATCATCAGTCCAATCAGAAATAAATAAGCATTCGCAATTAATATCAAACATTCATCAAATTCACTTCATTTCAAGGCAATTTGTCCATTTCTGTTAAAAAAGAGAATAAGCCATATTTAATTTGAAGAAGTCAGGCGGCATCTTGTTAGGGCAGAATCGGTTTCCCACCAAAGTTCAAATTTCGACCAAAGCTAACATTAACGGACGAGCTTAATCTAAGTTGGCTCCCTAATTTTTTTGTACTTTTTCAATACATGAAGTTAGTGACCGTCAATGCTTTACAACGGCTGCAGCATTTCATTTAAGGCATAAATCGCAATAACAGGAGCAATATTTCAACAGAGGGACTTGATAAACGACGTAAAAGGCTCAAATTCTGATTTGAATGAATCAGATAATTGAGTAAAATGTAAAAGAAAAATCTAGTAATGCGCAAATAAAGGAATGAATGAATTAATCAGTCAATTAAATCAATTTCCAATTCAACGTAAGTAATCCGAGAGAGAGTGCATTCCTTTTTGTTCGCCCTGTGATAGTTCCAGAAACCTGGCACCACTTTCTCAAACAATCAGGTGCCAAACTAAAACAAATCACGACTTCTTTTTTACTGCACTTTAAGTTGTTTGGTTGCTTTTTCACTTTGAGTTCTCATTGGCTCTTAAAGATATTTTTCTCTCTTCCGATTGGGCGCTATGGTTACTTTGGTTTTAGTTTTGCGACATTAAATTGTAAAGCGCTCTAATCAATCAATCAAGACATACATATATAGATTAAACAATATCTAAACTAGTAACTAAGCCTGCTATCATTTAAAGGAGGGACCACGAACCATCAACTGCCTCGTTGAATCTTCCACGCTCAGGCCCCCACCACTGGTTATAGCGCGACGACGCTACAATGGCTGAATCTTCTATGTCACCGCTTTCCATCCCTAGAGGCGATGCGCACTCTATTTTGGGGATATCAAATCCTGGTTGCGAAAAAAAACAAAGAAAGGACAGGAAAATTATATTATTTTAAAAACACCATCATCTTTACTATCTGGAATTATTTTGAATTGCTACCAAAAAATTAAAAACATTTTCCTATTTCTTCGCCGTAACGATATGATTGCTTGATTAACCAGGTACTCATCGGTAGTATGGCACGATAAGCGAAATTTCTTTTATGGCGCAATCCCCTTCGTGAATTTCAGGTACCCTTTTTAAAGAAAATGATTCGACATTGAATAAAAGGATCTCATATGTTGAGAGAAAAACTTACCAGATTCACAGCCATAAAAACCAGCTCTCAAGGCAATATGCCCATGCCAGGACCGAGGAATAATTCGCACATATCGCGCTATCACTTGTCCCTGCTTCAGCAAATGGCAAACGGGCATAAATTGGTCTGTGTTTCCCTTGAATGTCTGACAAGATACAACAAACGTTTAAAGATTAAATTAGCTAGATTTTTATAGTTTTACATCAAAATAATTTAAAACAACCATTCACATCTGTGTCGGTGTCACCGCTTGCCACTGAGACTGAGGTGAACAGTTTTTTTAGTTCATACTAGAACAGTGAGATAAAATAGCACAAAAGAGATGATTTAAACTCATTTACCCCTGTAAAGATTACAAATCCCGTGCGAATTGCTCAGAGGTGAACAGCAAAGGGTATTTGAATTTTGACTAGCCACTCAGAGCGCGCCTTAATACCATCCACGAAGATATACGATCTTAAGTCAGCGAGAGTTTATACATAAATCCATGTTTACTTCCGTAGTGCTTACCGCTAAATATTTGGTGAAAAGGCCGCTATTAGTTATTTTTTTCTTCTGTTTGATTTTACATTTTGCCTCTGGATAACATCGACAATTACAGACTTTCATTCCTTAGATTGTAAGAGCTGCATCGACTCGAAAATCATTTTATAATATAAAACCACTTGTTTTCTAACTATAAGAACATTTCTTCTTGAGGATACGGAATTTTCATTTCGGCAGCTAGTATTAAGAAAAGTCTATTCATCACTAAAACAATTCGTTAATTACCCCTTGGAGCGTTTTGTAAAAGACTCCATCATAACTGAACGCCAGTGAGTAGCTAGTCAGCCACTGTGCCGCATCCAGCCTTCCTTGGGTGCAGAATCTCATCACTTGCCTCCATCCTCCTAAGTTCACTTGAAGCCATTGGTTCTGGTCGTTTGTTTTGGCCAGCCAGCTTCCAGAACCTCCCTGATACTGTTGGTAAAGACGACCTTGGCTCGGCCGGTAGTTGTTGTTATAATAGGAAGAAGCAGTTATGGCTGAATCAGGGATTTGGTTGGGATCTTCCATTCCAAGTCCATCCATGCACGTAGGAAAAACTGGAGGTTGGAAGCCTTGAAAAGCAAAAAATAAAAAGACAAGAGAACAGGGTATAAGTAGTTATATTCTCACATGCAAGCGTGAATACTCAGTAAATGCTAAGAAACAAATCAGCGTATTAGTATTAATAGGGTGTACAGTTACCTGAGTCACAACCAACAAACTCAAGCCTCATAGAAATGTATGCATGCCATTCCACCGGGTGAACACGAAAAATACGGGCGATGATTGGTTCGTCCAGCTTGGTTTCCACGACAGTCTGATAGTCTCTATTGGCATAGTATTCCTAGAAAGAAAAAAAACACATTCATTATACTTACAAACATTTTTTGCTTATTTAACAGATATTGTTGGGTTGTTGTTAGACCCATAGCGGTATCTTTACTCTTTTTGTTTTTACAAAAAAGATCATTCCATACAAAACTATACGTGACATTTATTTTTGGATGTACATAAAGTTCGCGATAGGAAAGAAAAGTTAGTTGTATATGTTTCTTGCTTTAAATCTACACGTGGAATCTATATTTAGACTCAGTTTGTGATTTTAGGCAACGCTCAGTAATTGGTCTAGAAAGCTCGCGTCAAACCAATAAGCTACAAAGTTTACTACAAACAACGACTTTTACTCCAGTTTGCCTCAGTGATTTCTTTGGTTTGGGTTTACTACAGGAAGCACTCAGTGTTCTCTGCAATGAGTGAAGGCTCGCAGCTCGTAAATAGCTCAAAATTATCGCTATTGGTGGAATTTTAAAGCTCAAATTGTTCAGAGCAGAAAAATAATTTCACTTTATGTATTTTTCTATGAAAACTATTATATATTTTTACCCGCGGAACATTGTAAGGATGGTGAAGTTGAAACGAGAAATATCCTCCATCAAGGCTGTAAGACACTATAAACTTGGTCACCCATTGTGCGGCGTTATGGCGTCCTTGGGTCAAAATCCTCGTTATTTTGACAATCTTTCCAAAATCCACTTGGAACCATTGGCCCTTGTCGTTGCGCTTAGCAATATAAGTGGTCTGGTGGTTGAGCCTTCCTTTATTTGCTGCATAGGATGCGCTATACTGCAAATATAAAAAACGTCAAGTACTGACTTAGTTCTGCGATGTAGCCTCTAGGACAAGCTTGTTTTCAAAGTTCCACCTTGCCGAATGAATTTTCAAAAGTACAGTATCGAAACTTTCTAAGGGGTGAATAAGCACCCTTCATTTAGATTCTTCTTGAGAAAAAACAGCCCATGGTCATGAAACTCCATTTTGCAGCAGAAATTACCTTGATCAAGTTACGAGATACAGTGTGTATTGAGGTGCGTCCTTCAGGTGGGAAAACCGTGACGCGACATGCCGTGACCCGTCGCGTCACCGTCACCGTGACATGCTGGTATTGCGTGACGCGCAATACCAGCATGTTAATAAGAAAGAAGGGTCTGCTCTAAAAGCTGTGGATTAATCGAAATAAGCGAGTTCGGAAATTAATCAGCAAGCCCATAGATCTATTCTCCAGTTTTGATCGTGAAACAACCTCTATAAATAACCAATATATATTGAAAAAAGGCCACTCTATTTAAAATAAATTAATTCATGATTATCACTACGAAAAGGCTTCTTTTCGAAGCCACATAAGTCGTCGAGATGAGTGAGTGTGTGACTGAGTGAGCGATGGTAAGTAACGATAGAACTCCGATCATGACCCAATGTTTCCCAGTGCTTCTTATTGGTATTTTCGGAGTATCTTATTAGTTCGACATTAGTACTCGGTAAACATCTCCTTTTGTGATTTCAGGCTTATAGCCACTAGCGCATCATGTTTTCAGTTCTTTCCGTGACATTACAGAGGACAGCAGTAGACGATGAATATTACACAATCATTTCAGAACTGCACGTGACTAGAGACAACACTTTTCCTTGCAGAAATGTATTGACAGATACATCATGAAACTCAGAGGAAAAGATTTTTTTTTCTTGAAATAATTACCGACGCGTAATTTAACTCAAACTTTTCATTGCAGAAACATCTCAATAGGTATGATCTGCACATCAAGGAAGCTTTGAAGAAAATATTTTTTGTTTGACAGGAGAGCATTTTACCGTTTGAATCAGTGACTTATACCCTAAAGAGCCGCTAAATGTGCGAAGTGAGCAAGCTGCGAGATTTACAGGGTGACTCTATTCAATGGAATGATAGGAAACGGTCGAACGGTAGAACAGTGGAATGGCGGAACCGAGGAATATCTTTAAACGCGGAATGCTTTGTTGTATGAGACAAAAATCGTGCAAAAACGTATTTGCAATAAAGTAATAATATTAGTTATAATTAGGAAGCAAAAATACTTTCATAAATACCTCACTAGCAGACGATAATGCGGAGTTTGGAATTTTTCCATCTTCCAATCCCATCTTATCCATGCAATCTTATTGAATAAAAAGACGGGAAAGGGATGAATAACGTTGACGCAAAGTATAATCAGAGATTAAGGGCAGTTTATTTTAATGAATTCAAAGATATTTGTTGAATGTTTTACCAATTGTAAACTTGTACCTCAAAATCCTTGTAACAGACATCAAAGTACAGATTAATTTCTTCAATTGTTTGAACAAGTATTACTATTAAATAAAGTTTATTAGATCTGGAGCTAGATAAAGATCTGGAGCTTCGGTCTGTGTCTGACTTATAGGTTTCTGGTTCTTGATGACCGCAAAATGATAAGAAAAAAGATCAAATTAAACCAGACAGTTTCAATATGCTCATTCTTTTTTATTTCTCTACTTACACTTTGAATTAGGCTTCTATCAAGTAAATAAAACTCACAGCTCACTAATTTTTCCCCTTCACTTCTCTGTAAGTCTATTGGGAAAACTGGCGTTGTATAAGATACTGCATTCATACCCATGCAATTTTTTTTATTTGAGAGACACAATTGAATATACTTTACTCTCCGTACATACCTCCAGCAGCAAAACCTGAAAAAAAATTCGAAATTATAGTAACTCGACTGATATTCATTACAAATACTGCATGAAACTTTTGGCCTGACTGAATTAAAATCGTCTCTTAGAATAAAAGATATTTAAAGTGCAATTCACGTTGTTTGCAAGATGAGGAATTCCGGAACGATATTCTGGATATTCAGGGGAGGCGTGCATGAGTAATTAAGATGAGACCCGCTGAAAGTCACTTTGTAATAACTAGTTAATGATAGTAATAGAAATAAAAATGGAAATAATATTTAAGAATTTAAGAATGGACATTCTACTCGGTGGCTCTTCTTTTCCTCTGTTTCCAGATCGAATTGGAATGTGAAATTTTGGACTTAGTGGAAAACCGGAGGATCCAGTGGAAGAACCTCGAAGCAAGGACAAGAACCAACAATAAACTCAACCCACACATGTGACACCAAGTCCGGGAGTCAGTGGTGGGAGGCGAATGCTCTCACCGCTGTGTCGACGTGTCATTCCCTACTCCCCAGCATAAGTGTGATAAACACCCACTTTAATTGAACCTGCGCACAGCATGAATACGAAACAAATAATTTTTGGTTCAATTTAAGCATTTATAACGACTTTGGTGAAACTCATTGCTTATTTCGATATGAATTTTAAAAAGGGGCAGATTCATAAAATAAAGCTTATTTGAAGAACTGAGACAGAAAATATCTGACTTATCTGTTAGCTTAGACCAATCAATCAGCTAGTCATCTGAGGTATTTATATGTCTCGCTCTAGAACAAGTGGGGAATTACTAATTCTAAATTAACCAAAAATTGAAAGTCAAAATGATCGTAACTACTTCAAAATGATAAACTTTTGCGTCAAAAATACACGATTCGTGATATCAGAATAACAAGTGTTATTCTGTGTTCTGTTCTGAAACTAGACAGGAAGAGTGCCAAATGAACTTAAAAATATTTCAGCTTTCGGCCCTTGAAAAAAAACTTAAAAGCTTTATTTTAAAAAATTTAAAGCTGGACATTGTGAATAGATCAGCGCGCAGTAACACTGGTTTTCGATTTGAATTAGGGGTAGCTCTCATAAAGGTAGCTCCAAACCGAACAGTGGCTCTGATACTGAAATGGCCACGATAAAACCTTGACGAAACACGTGAAAGGCGAGGCGACGAGACTACTAAAATCAGGCTATCTCTTGACGTTTTCTTTTAATTACTGTTAAAGATAGAAAGAGAGACTATGTACCCGACGGAACCATAATCAGTTTATCCCATAGATTAATAGCTTACCGGTAATTTTATCTGTCACTCCCAGGAGTCAGGGAAGCTGCCTCCCACCAAATAGGAATAAAAAAACATGACTTACCTACTTCAAGAAATAGTCTGAGCAAGATTACAAATTTCACTCCAGCGCCCATTTTGAGTTTACAACGAAATGTTACAACAGTGGTCGCCTAAAGGAAAACTCTATGGTATCTCAGACTTAACGTAAACTTGTAATGACTTAAACGTGTAATGGAACAAAATGGGACTCTAACTTGATGAGAACCAAAGAAAATTCACGGAATACATCAAGACGTATCACTTTCGGTTAAACGAGCCAATCAGAGTCTACATAGAAAAAAGTCGAATGTTAGTCATTTACGACTGAAAATGTTTTAAGTGACCATCTATGTGGCCATGGTATCAGGGTTGTTGATTAAACTAGGAAAAAATTGCTTTTTTTCAAATTTAAAATTTGTTTACACAATTCCGCTGTGTTTGAATTGGTTATTCCTTTGAACATTGAAAAAGAGTAATATTCCTTGCACTGTAACAAATTAAATGAAGAAAAAAAGGTGTTACTAAAATATATTTATCATAAGTGTAATTCAGAACTTAAAATTTTACACATTATCTTCAAACAGTGAATTCAATTTTACAGCAATATTCTCAATTAAAATTGTAAAAGTAAACACGTCTCTTACATCTAGACGCTCAAATATTTGTGTCTTTTTTAAGTGGCACATAACTATTTGTTTTTTCTGAACAACCGTTCGCACGAAAGTTGAAAATGGTCGGAGTATCTTAACTAGTAAACAGAAACATCAATTAATTAGTATCATTACCCTTAAAATACCCATGTTTCCTTTTTTTTTTTAACATTTTGAACGATTTTAGGTTGTTTACGCTTGATTCAAAGGAAATTAAAAGACCCCCACACTCAAACTGTGAAAAGATCCCTCAATAGGAAAATGACATTTACAACATAAATATAAGCACGTTCTCTTGCAGTTCTGATCGCAATTAATTGTGCTTATTTACTTTGATTTGAAAGACAATGGAAAACGTATGGGAGGTTAGCTTTGCCCCCCAGATTATGATAATGTCGAACTTTGAACGTTGTACTTTTTAAATGAAAGCGCTGTATTTCTGATACGTTCATTTCCGTGAAGTTGAAACTAAGTCTTCGTCCCTTTGTCATTTTGTTACTTTTAAATTGCCAAAATTGAAGGACCATTGAAGAAGTTTTTTTTCGCACTTTGCCGCATGTACTATTGTAAACATAGTATAATCACTATATGCAAATGACAATTTTATTTGTATATCTTGGAACTGCTATATGCAATGCCAGTAAGATAATCTTTATCTATCTTAAACATAGCTTGTATCAATAAAATTTACAACATAAATGTAAGCACGTTTTCCTGCGGCCCTGGTAACATTTAGTAATGTTTTATTATCTTGTTTTAAAGAATAATGAAAAAGGTATGGGAGGTTAGCTCAGCCCCCTAGATTATGATAATGAATAACTTCGAACAGGTTACTTTTTAAATGAAAGCGCGTATACTATTGTCTTATACGAAGTCTTCATCCCTTTGCCATTTTGTTACTGTTAAACTATCAAAATTGAAGGGCAATTGAGAAATGTTTTGTTTCAAGTTTTTTTTCAATGTTTTTTGCAGCCACACACACTATTGTCAACACAGTATAATTACTTCATGCAATGACAATTCTATTTGTCTATCTTTGAACTGCTATATTTCTCTAACACCAGGTGATACTTAGAACCCGTGCAAAACGTTTTTCATGTACGAGCTGTTTGTCTAAACACACACCGTACCAAATATTGGTGGGTTTGTAACCA